CATGGTCTGGCTTCTGAGCTTCTCTTAAACTAAATCTTGCTACTTCTTGCCTCATATATTGTGTTTATCTTCTATGACTGTGCATATTTTATTTACAATACTTTTCACTCTTCTCCTTTTCCTCCAGTTATGTCTTTATATGTGTCTTCTCTACTCAACTATGTACTCCTTGGGGACAGGCCCATATCTAATTTTGGTATCCCTAACACAATCCTTAGCATAAGGTAGGCATTCTATAAATAACTATTCCTTCATTCACTCATTCATTCATTAAAGCTTTTTTTTGGTCATTGGTAGGTGCTTGGTACACAGTAGTAAACAACAAAACAGCAGATGAGTCTGGGAAAGTAGTTTGAGAATAAATTGTGAAAGGCCAGGCATGCCACCTTAGAGGTTAGAATTCATTCTGTAGGAAGTTTTTTACTAAGTTTATATAGAGTGAAGAGATATCACATTTCTGATATAGAAACAGATATTTGTAGAGTAGACCTTTTGAGAGGGCAGAGGCAGGCAGCTAGTAAGTATTGCTGAAGTAGGAATTTAAGTCAGAGTTTGAAGACTGTGACTGTAGAAGACTGCAAAATGATGCAACTGGTAAAGGAAACATTTATTACAGAAGAGGCAGATCTTATGAAAAAAAAATGCTGAATGAAGAGTCTTTTTGGGTTTACTAAAAACTGAGTTGGTAATAAAGGGAAACAAGTAGAGAAATTTCAAGCAGATGTGTATGCATTTGAAATAATAAATAAAAAAAAAAGACCATGATGACAGAGAGCAGGGAAATGAGAAGAACATTTGAGAAAGACAAGCCAGTAATCAACTCCATAAAGGAAGGGATGCGGTAAAGCAGAAGAGAGAGAGATGAGATGAGTAGCTTTGCCTATCAACCAGAATGGAAGTGATAAAGGCCAAGGAGAGCTGGAAAAACTGAAAGAACAAATATGAGATAAGAAGAAATTGGATTTTATAAGTAGTAAATAAAAATATTTTCTTAAGGGCTGGTACCAGATTTCATTTTGAAAAGCTACTTTGAGTGTGGACTGTGAGAATCTAAAAGAAAGGCTTGGCAGGAGTAAAACAAAGATCAATGATGTTTTTCATAAAAAGTAAATGAGAAAACATTCTCCAACATATTTGACTTCCTTTTAAAGACTTATAGATATACCGAGTAAAATGGAATTATTGTTATGTAAACTACACACCAAGCTCAATAACGGAAAACAACAATAAACAGGAAATTCTCAGGCTTGCAACTGATATAAGTTTACAATATCTACATACTTCAGGAACCACAAACAGAAATAACCATGTAGCAATGCTCCTAGATCTTAAAGAGGCAAAGAACTCTGGCAGAAGCAAATACATAAGTGCTCTGAAAGGTTTCTTTTACAAATTAGGGCGTAAGAGACTCCTGCATACAAAACAACCCCATTCCAGAACAGCACCACTGAAGGAAATAAATCACTGTGAATAAAAGTCAGCAAATGTAAGCAGTAGAGTTGGGAACTCAAAGCTGAAAGTAATGGAAGTATCTGAATGAGAAGATAAAATAAAGATATTTGACTTGATTAAAGATGCAAAATAATAGAAATAATGCAAGAACAGGTAGATTTCACAAAGAACCAAACAGAACATGTAGTATTGAAACACAGTATTGGGCCCTGGACAGTATGGCTCAGTGATTGGAGCGTTGGCCTGCGTGCCAGAGACTCTCCTCTTGGGTTCCGTTCCTGCTAGGGGCACGTACCACTAAAAAACAACAACAAAACAGTACTGTCATTGAAATGAAAATGACTGGGTCTAAGCAGATCCCATGAATATAATTGCCTCCTTTTGTAGTCCTCATTATAAATTATGCTCAACAGCATTTCTTTCCAACTTTGTCAGAGTATATATTTGGTGTATTTAAAATGTGCTGCTACTCAATACAATTTTATAGTATGAACTTCCTGTCATTATCAATTCATCCCTTTAAAGCCAAAATTAATCTCAACAAAATGAATCAACCTTATTTCTACAGTGAAGTACTTTACTTTTTTCTCCTGTCCTAAATTCCAGAGACAGGATTCACCCAGGTCCCTAAAAGTTATTTTAGGGCTCCAAAATTTGGGAAGGACACCTGAGAAAGAGGGACCTTTCCAATGCCCTGGAGTAGACCAAATATTTTTCCTGTGCCCCATTTTATGACTTGAATGATATCCTTGGTGGTGCTGCCTTGCACATAATGACGAAGACTCCTCTGGCCTGCCAGAGTTGAAGCTTTCAAAAGCTTTGATCCATAGTGATAAAACAAGAACAGTACTCTATACTACATCTACTCAATAGTCAACCTTCACTTCCAGTCCTTACCTCTCCAAATTAGGGGGTTATCAGTGCCTTTGTGCCTTGGCCTTCACTTTCCTGCAATCTCAGGAGGCAGAGTTAAACCTCAGCCATTAGTGATTTCTTCTGTACTAACAGTTCTTTAGTGTTTCTGGCATGCACTAAAATTGATAGAGCTCTCTCCCTTTATAAGCAAGTTTCATTTTAACAAATACTTTTAATGGGAATAGTTAGATGTGTATATTCTTAGGACTACTCAGAAGTCTTTACTTGGCAAGTGCATTTGCATGTTTTCTCTGTTTACCTTAAATATATCAAGTTATTAATCTATTAAATAAGTGAAAAGGCTAATAATATGTCTTAACACTTATATTTTCACCCCAAAGAATTGTTTATTTCAAAACTTAATAAAATTCACATTAGAGCTCGTTGGCAAATTAAAATTCTTTATTCACAGCGGTGAAATGAAGGGGACATAACAGAAAATAAATCTATTCAAGTGAAATAGAATCAATACAAGTGAACAGCTATAGAGTGCAGATGCAGGAATCAAGGTCGACAGAAATAACAGTGTAACTAAAGTGATGTTAGGCCTGTAATAACTGACATTATAGGAAGGGATGGGATATGACAGTAAATAAGAAAATTCTTGCTTAAACAAGCAATACCCATAAACACACATACACACTCACACACCTTATTTTACTCTTAAGTAGAGAAAGAATTTCAAAACACAGGCCCATTCTTGGTAGTGTAAGACTGGTGTCAAATACTGCAAAGATAATGGGGCCAAAAAACTCTGACCACATGGCCTAAAATACACTGGCCACATGATCTTTCTGTATGTTATAGGATATAACACTACAGTGAGCTTAAACCTAAGTTCTTCCCAACTCATTGGTATCAATATGCTCAACTTGGAGTAAACGGGCCAGCTATTCTTTTAGCTTAAGGAAAGAACAATACACACTAATAACAGGACCTGTTACTCATACCACTGGATCCTGTGAAATGAAGAATATTATAAAATATTTAAGAGTTTGTGCTCTGCTAGATTGCTTGAGAACAAACCCGTCTCTCCACTTATCACTTGGACTTTCGTGACTGTTCATGTGTAAATTGAGAACAGTATCACAGATTTCAAAGGGTTGCTGAGGACTTTTTTTTTGAATCTTTACTGTTGAAAGTATTACTGATGTCCCCTTGTCTTTCCCCCTCTGCCCCGATCCACCCTGCTCCAGTCCTCCCAGGCCTTCATGCACCAATGTCTGTGTTCATTGGTTATGCATACATGTATGTAAGTTCTTTGGTTTATCTCCCTCCCACCTCACCCCCACCTCTCTGAGGTTCAATCCCTGCTTCTATGTCTCTGGATCTATTTTATCGGTCAGTTTATTTTGTTCATTATATTCCACAAATAAGTGAGATCATGCGGAACTTGTCTTCTCTGGTTTATTTTGCGCAGCATAATGCTTCCAGGTGCCTCCATGTCCTCTCAAAGGGTAAGAGATCTCTTTCTTGCAGCTGCATAGTATTCCATTGTGTAAATGCACTACAGCTTTTCTATCCACTCACCTACTGAAGGTAGAGAACTTTTTATTTTTTTTAATTCTTTTATCCTCATCCGAGGACATCTTTCCATATTTTGTTCAGATAGAATGGGAGGGAGAGAGAAACATCTAACTGAAAGGGACACATCCAGTGGCTGCCACCCACACGACCCAACCAGGGCCGGGGACAAACCGCAACCGAGGTACGAGGTACGTGCCCTTAGCGGGAACCAACCCTGGTCTCTCCTGACCACAGGGGACGCCCTAACCGCTGAGCCAAACCGGCCAGGGCTGAAGGTAGCACACTTTTAAAAGCCCTTGGAACCCAGACTGGTACACAGAGGTCAAGAAATGTTCGAGATCGGTAAGGATGTTCCCCCCGCCAAGTTCTCTAAAATGTTAGTTCGGCCATCGCTTATGATTAAACAGCTTTCCGAGGTAAGGAGGGAAGAACTATCTGTCCAGCACCTACTACCCGCCCACACGACCTCTCCGCGGGCTCTGCAGCGCTCCCCGAAACAGCAGCGACAGTCAGAAGCCAGACCGGAAACGAGAAAAGGCCGGGGATCCGCAGTCGGCAAGGGGAGGAGCCAGAGCGCGACCTGGAGTCGTCAGAAGGCCGGCGCCGCTTCAGCTCCACCAAGTTGCAGTTTCCACTTTCGAGGACTCTGAGCCAACTCGGGGAGATCCTGAGGCTTGCAGCCTCCCGGTCCCTGTCCTTCTGAGACCGGTGCAGGCTGCACCCCGTAGCCCGCCAAGCCCGCCAGAGGGCGGGGTCTCCAGGACGCGGCCGCAGCCAGACGGCGCCCGAGGCGGGCGGGGCAGCGACGCACGAGGCCCCGAGGCTCAGGTGAGGGGCTGCCCGCGGCGTGCCGGACTCCGACCTCAACATATGCCACCTGCTCCTTAACTCCGCAGTCCGGAGCTGTCTCACCCCTGGAGCTGGTGTTGTCGCGACCCTCTTTCCTGTCTCCCTGTCACTCTCATTGTTTGATGGGAGGGTAAAATGGAACCGCCCAAGTCAGGCATCTCCAAGGCACCAGCCAATGAACGAGGCAGTGGAGGTGGGGTCCTTTGCTCGCGCCGAAATTCAAAGGTATAAATATTTCCGGCAGGGCTGCGGAGCCCGGAGCGTGTTTTTTAATCACCATGGTGGGAACCGCTTTGTAGCAGCCCGAAGCCGGGCCAGGTTGGCCCGCTCTCTGCCCTTGTGACCAGGAAGAGCGTTTAGGGCGCTCAAGCCCGGGCGGCCGGACACAGCGGTGAGCGGTGCGTGCGCGCGGCCGGTTGGGCCTAGCCTCGCTGGCCTGGCATCGCTGGCAGCAGGTGGGGGCTGCTGGGCGGGGAGCGGGGACAGTAGCAAGGAGGGACCTTAGACTAAAATTAGCCCTAAAGGGTTCCTGGGGGGATTCCAGTTCCTACTGAGACTTGAAGTAGGGCGAAGAAGTGTTGGCAGTCTTGGTGAGGCGAGGTAGCAGCCTGAGTCAAAGGCAAGAGGCTGGAGAATAAATGGGATTCGTGTTTTTAATAAATATTTACTGACACCCCCTTCTCCTGCACGCCCTGGAGGCTGGCACTATTTGGGCACACAGCGGGAACGTAGACGGAGATCCTTCAGGAACTTACATTATGGCAGGTTGTATAGACGAAGAAATAAATAGTTTAGTGTCACTTTTAAGTTAAAGGAAGGATAAAGAAAGCAGAGCAGGGGCTTGGGTAGCGATGTTCTTATATAGAGAAGTCAGGAAGGACCTCTGATAAGGTGACATGTGTGCAGGGATGTGAGTGGTAAATGGAGAGCCATGCCGGCATTGAGGAGGACATTATGGGCAAAGGGAATGGCATGTAAAATAGTCCGTAGACTGTTAGCTGGAGTTCTTTAACAGTGGAAAATGATCCTGGGAGTGTAAGTAAGCGACTTCCACGTTGGATTAATGGTTTAATTAACCTTCAGGTAACAACTAACTTGTATATTTTAAAATTGGAGAAAGAAAGATATCCTTACATCACAGGAAGTAGCTTAGATCGGCAGGTAGTTTATGTATTTCTATTGAGTTATCATTCTTATGTTTTAGTCTTTTTAATTCACCCTGTATAATTCCAGGTTTACATTCCACTTTCATGTTATTTCTGTTTTGTACAGAACTGCTTTGTGGCCTGTTTGATTCTTAGCAAAAGTTCACCTGCCCAAGTCAGTAGTGAAAATGCATATTAAGTCAATCGTTCTTGAAGGATTCAAGTCCTATGCCCAGAGGACTGAAGTCAATGGTTTTGATCCCCTCTTCAATGCTATCACTGGTTTAAATGGCAGTGGGAAATCCAACATATTGGACTCCATCTGCTTTTTGCTGGGCATCTCCAACCTGTCTCAGGTAAAGTGTAAACTTTCTGACTTATGTGAATTTAAGTTTGGGGAACCTAGAGTTAATCCTCTTTGAGTTTGAAAACTGTTGTCATTATTTGCATTTTTTACTTTATGTGTATTATCTTATACCTGACTGCAGTCCTTTAAGGGTAGGGATTACTTACTCTATTTTTAAGGTGAGAAAATAGAAACTTAGGTGGGTTGCGAAAAGTTCATCCTTGTGTGGTATTTGGAGCAAAACTCAGACTCAGGCATTCTTACTTTAAGGCAGGCTCATTCAAGTGTCTGTATTTTGTGTGCCCCCGCCCCAACGTTATAATGCCTTTTCAGGATCTGCTAACGAGATTGGATGAATAGTGAAATTCTTAGATGCTATATATCTTTAAAACTTTTTAAGTACGTTTTGTTAAGAAATGATTAGAAAGCAATTCAATTCAAGGTTAAAAAAGTCCTATGGCAAAATGCATTAATTTTAGGTTGTTGCCATTTTCCTTGCCTGTGAAGACATCTCTGTCCTTGGTTAGTTGATGGATAATGCTACATGGGTGGTTTTCAGACGTCAAGAAACCCATTTTTATTGCCATTTTGTGCAATATGGGGTTTTGTAATTGACAAATTTTTTTTATTTTATTTCAGGTTCGGGCTTCTAATTTACAAGATTTAGTTTACAAAAATGGTCAGGCTGGTATTACAAAAGCCTCGGTATCAATCACCTTTGACAATTCTGACAAAAAGCAAAGTCCTTTAGGATTTGAAGTTCATGATGAAATTACAGTAACAAGGCAGGTGAGTGGCTATTAAATATTTGGATACCTAAAAACTTGCATGTCTGCTGTTTTTTTTTGAGATATGACTTTGCTAGACGGAAAGTTTATGAGAGAAATCTGTGCATCAAATATTGACTAGATTCCTTAGGAATACCTCATGATAAAATTTGACCATGCAAATTTTACTATTTACCATGAGGACTGAAGGGATTTGAAAAGTCATCTATTATTGTAAGCAATCAGCCATGCTTCGGTCTTGAACTACCGTTGAATCCTCTCTGTCTGTGCTGGAGTACATACCAGAACTTGGGATCTTACGTCTTCTAAGGTACCCATTCTGGTTTTGGACATGTCTGATTAGAAGGTTTTTTTAAAAAAAATGATTTGAGTCAAAGTGCTGTCTTAAAGTTTTAGACATTAATCCTACTTCTCTTGAGAACACCGATAACAAATCTGGTCTATTCCATATTTCAATAGTTAAGTGGTCTGTAATCTAAATGTTTTCTAAGCTAAATTTCTGTAGGTCTTTCCATTGATATTTAGCTGTTTCTAGTTCCTTCACTTGTCTGATCACATTGAATGCAAATGTATTCCAGTTCTTTATCTTCTCCTCCCCCTCCTCTTTAAATGCATGGCACCTCAAATTGCAGGTAACAGAATTGGTCTAGTTAGGTCAGGATTAAGCAGAATTGTCACTTCTTTCATTTTAGGTACTCTACTTCTATTTTTCTCAATATGATGTTGGAGAGTTAGTAATACCTTATGAATTCATATCTGATTTACTTAAAATCACACTGATTTTTTTCATGTGTGCTATTAGCATGTTACTGCCATTTCTCTATGTAAGCAAGTTTTTGAAACTAATACAGAACCTTACATTTGTCCCTTAAAATCTTTTTTTATAGTCAGACAATGTTTCTAGTTTTTCAAAGTTTCACTTTTAAAAATTATGACTCCCATTTACTCTCCATCTTAGTATATGTAACTTGTAGATATCCCTCTATTTTAATGAAAACCTCTGGTAAGAAAAAAAATAATAAACCATTGACTAGGTTGGGACAGAATCCTCTTCCATGTCATTAAGTATCCATCAAATAATCACTCATCAGGAATTTTCATTAAGTCTGCTACTAATTTACCTACAATCCCTGTTCTCATGTGTTCCATATGCCTGTATCTTTAAAATTTTGTTACAAAGACTTCATCAAATTACTTGTATGGATATACTAGGTCTGTTGTTTAAGTATATTAATATATGTTCTTTCAGCCTAGTAATCTTGTCAGGAAAAGAAAGAAATTAACATTTATTAAGTGCTTGATATATATATATATGCTGGGCATTTTTTTAAATGTACTGGGAAATACAGGTAAAAATAAGAATGAGAAACAAATCTCTAAGGACTTCAAAATATGAGTGAGACAGTCATACCCAATAAATGACAGTGTAAGTGCTATAGTAGAATATAAACAAACTGGTGTCTAATGTAAGTTGATTTTAATGAACCCATGCTGGAGCTCCATATTACTCTTGCAAGTATTCACAAGTCATACTTTCATTAATCCCTTTTAGGATCTTGTCAAGAATTGATATCAAACTGCGTATCTTTAGTTTTTTTTCATGTCTGACTTCTGTTTCTTTGGGAATGAAAGGTGGAGGAAGACAGGTTAACCTCTGAGGGTGGAAAACTTGCGGAAAGAGGGTGATCAGGGATGGATAGTACATGTTTTACATATACTTGGAAACAAAGCCAGAAGTGACCTTAGAGACCCAGTCCAGTGATGTTAGGAGGCTTGTGTATGGTTACATAACTAGTTAGTAAAAGTCCCTGGGTAGAAGCTCATGGTCCTGACTCAGTCTCATTATTTATTTATTTATTTTATCCTCACCCAAGGACATTTTTCGATATTTTGTTCAGATAGAGTGGGAGGGAGAGAGAGAAAAAAAACATCGATGTGAAAGGGACACATCAAGAAGTTGCCACCCACATGACCCAACCAGGGTCAGGGACAAACTTCAACCGAGGTATGTGCCCTTAGTGGGAACCGAACCCAGGTCTCTCCAGACTGCAGGCTGACGCTCTAACTGCTGAGCCAAACTGGTCAGGGCAATCTCATTATTCTTGACCAGGTCACATTCCACTTTGCTCAGGATTGGTTTTGTTTATCATTAGGGCAAAACAAGCAAATGCAAGATAATGTATTTGGGAATTTACTATCTTAGCTCAAGGTGTGTATGTTTATATCTTTGAAAATGCTTCCCTTTTCAGGTGGTTATTGGTGGCAGAAATAAATATTTAATCAACGGAGTAAATGCAAACAATACCAGAGTACAGGATCTCTTTTGTTCTGTTGGCCTTAATGTTAACAACCCTCACTTTCTCATCATGCAGGTATTTTGTTTGTGATCCTTTTATCTCTTTCATAATGGTTTTGACATCTTTTATTGTTTGATATTACACTAGGAGAAGGGCTTTATGGATTTTCCATTTTTTTATTTACTGTTAATGCTGGTGTTTGCGCATCTGTTAAGAAATGGGGGTTATTTGTACTGATACAGTCTAACATGTTATATGTATTTGAATTTTGAAGAACATTTAGAACTAATTTTCCTTGACTTTGTTACTATAAGAACAATACACACTTACTATAAAAAGTATTTAAATATTGTCTTAGAATAGCCTTTTAAAATACTGGATTAAAGTATTTTATTCTTTTAAATATATATTAAAGTTTAAATAATTTTCTTCTTTAGAGATTTATTCAAGTAAAAAGTAAGAACTAATGTGATCTTGCCTTTACATTATCTCCCTTGATCCATCCAGCTGTCCTTTCAGAAAGTTACGGCAAAGTCAGCGGCAGGATCCTGATGGGACCAAAATAAAATTATTTTCACTACATCACAGCCTCAAAACTGAAAATTTACTTCAAATGAAACTAAATCTTAAGTAATATTCTCTGAAAGTTGTATAGTGAGGGTGGGGCCTTTATTTGTCCTTTTTTTTTTGGCACTGAATGATTTTGATGATTTTCTAGCATTGAAAGAACACCTTTTACTATTCTATTTAAGGCCCAGAATTATGTAGTCTGTTTCTAGAAATTATCTTAGAGGGCTGTCATGCAAAAAAAAAAAAAAAGAAATATTCAGTAATTATGCTAAAATTTATTGATGTGCCTGTCTGTTTTAGAATTGGCTACTTCTACGTCATTAGTATTAACTATTACAGAAATGTGGTTTGAGTTAACTCCGTATCATTTAATAACTTCTGTAATTTGTGTCACTGGTAAGTAAGAAAGTGAACAGCAAAGTTCTAGAATTATAAGATACCTTCAGCCTCGAATGAAAGAAACATCTTTTCATGTATGTAGAACTCCCAAAGATTGATGTATTAGGATACAGTAGCTTTATTGCAAATAAACATGTATGCCTTTAGTTGGTTATCATTTGGTAAGTTTGCCATTTTATTTTCAGGGCCGAATCACAAAAGTATTGAACATGAAACCTCCAGAGGTAAGAGAACTACTTATGGACAGTAAAAACAGTAATAATACATATTATTTTAATTTTCTAGATAATCAGTTTTTAAAATAATTTCTTTCATTATTAAACTCTTGGAAATATTTAAGAATGATTAGTAAAGAAAGTGGTTTTCATTTTTCAATATTTTATTTTATTTATAAAATAACCTTCTGGGCCTTGGTTTTTTGTTTTTTTGCTTTTTACTTTTGTTAATCTTTACCCAAGGATATTTTTCCCTTGATTTTTAGATAGTGTGGAAGGAAGGGGGGGTGGTGGGGACAGACACACACATGGACTAGTTGCCTCCCATTTGATCCCCACTGGGGCTGAGGATTGAGCCTGCAACCCAGGTGCATGCCCTTCAACAGGAATTGAACCTGTGACCCCTCAGCCTGCGGGCCAGTGCTCTAACCACTGAGAAAACCAGCCAGGGCTGAGCCTTAAGTTTTTTATCCATAAATTGGAGTCAGTAATCCTAACCCCAGGTTTGTTTTGAGGCTTAAATGAGAATGTATAAGAAAAGGCATGAGACATTTTTTAAGCAGATTTTTTTTAGAACTATTTTATTAATTGAAATACAATTGAAATGAATTTCACGTGTATAACATGATTCAATATATGGATACGTTGCAGAATGATCCCTACAATAAGTCTAGTTAACATTACCACACAATTACAATTTTTTTTCTTGTGATGAGAACTTTTAAGATTTATTCTCTTAGCAACTTTCAGGTACAGTGTTATTAACTAGTCACATTATATCCCCATGACTAATTTATCTTGCAACTGGAAGTTTATACCTTTTGACCACATATTTCCCCACCTCTGGCAGCCACCAGTCTGTTCTCTTTATAGTTTGGTTTTGTTTTCTTTTTGAGAAAGAATATAAGTGAGATTATATGGCATTTGTCTTTCTCTCTCTGACTTACTTTGTTTAGCATAATGCCCTCAAGGTCCATCCAGGTTGTCACAAACACAAGATTTCCTTTTGTTTAATGGCTGGATTATATTCCATCATATACACACACACACACACACACAGGCATACCTCAGAGACATGGGTTTAGTTCCAGACCACTGCAATAAATCAAATCATATCTTTTTGCTGGTAGAGGGTCTTGTCTTCAATTTTTAAAAAACACAACATCTGTGAAGTGCAATAACAGAGCACAATAAAGCAAGGTATGCCTATATACCTCATTTTTTAAATTTATCCGTCAGTGGACACTTAGGTGTTACTATGTCTTGGCTATTATACATAATGTTGTATTGAACATGGGGGTCCAGATATCTTTTCAAGTTAGTGTTTTTTCCTTTGGGTAAATATCCAGAAATGGAATTGTTGGATCATGTGGTAGTTCTTTTTTAAATTTTTTGACGAACTTCCAAACGATGTTTTCCCACATTGGCCACACCAATGAATAATCCCTCTAACAGTGCACAAGGTTTCCCCTTTCTCCACATCTTTGCCAGTAGTTGTTATGCCTTGTCTTTTTGATAATAGCCATCCTAACAGGTATGTGGTATATCTTATCGTGGTTATGTTTTGCATTTTCCTGATGACTAGTAATGTTGACCACCTTTTCTTGTATTTATTGGCCATCTGTATGTCTTTTGTGGGACATGTTTTCTGCCCATTTTTGAATTGGATTATTTGGGTTTTTTTTCTGTTGAGTTATTTATGTATTTCATTATGATTTACAAATATTTTCTCCAGTTCCATAGGTTGTCTTTTCATTTTGTTAGTGGTTTCCTTTGCTGTGCAGAAGTATATTTAGTTTGATGTAGTCCCACTTGTTAATTTTTGCTTTTGGTGTCAAATCCAAAAAATCATCACTAATATGGATGTCAAGGAGCTTACTACCTATGCTTTCGTTTAGGAGTTTTACGTGCCTAATATTAAAAGAAATGTTGACAGTATAAAGCAGCCGTTCTCAACCAGCGTTTCACGTTAGAGTTAAACCCTGTAGAAAAATCCTACAGAAAAAGATTTGAGTGAAATTAATTCATTACGTATAATGGATTATTTAGGCCATTAAGACTTATTTTCTCTTGGAGCCCCCTTGAGAAGAATTGGTATGAAAGAAAGAATGTTTTGTAGAGAACACAGACTGTTAGTATTAAGAAGATATAAGAAGAAGACTGATAATTGATAATACCTGTCTAGTTTGAATGTGGGGCACGCTTATTTTCTTTACATCTTAAGGAAAAACTTCTAATTTGAAAACTGCCAAATACATAGAAATCAAAGTGATTTCCAGAGAAATAATCCTCTTGAGATGGGGATTGGTGATGAGTAGAAGCTTCTAAAAACGGAGTGCTAGCAAAATTGCCCTTCTTATACAATTATAATTTGCCTTTGCTTTTCGCATGAACTACTTTGTTGAATTCTCAACAATGCTGTGAGACATTATTAGTACTCTGGATGAAAAAAACTGAGGCACAGAGAAAATTAAGTTATTTGCCTAAGTTTTTGACGCATGTTCCATGACTGGGATGCAGATGTGATGCTATGCTTTATCCTGGTAGGCACTAAATGGCTGAAGTCTTACTTGGGACGATTTTAAATAGAAACTTCTAAAATCAAAGCTAAATGGTGTTAGCCTTTACTTTTTTAGACTTGTATTTGAAGGAAAATAGGAGTGAGGAATTATTGGCTTCGACTTTTTAAAAAATGTACTCTGGAACCTTGGTGTATCATAAAGTTTGCAGTTAGAATTGGAGCGAAGGCCAGAAATGTTTCTGCAATGTGAGGGTTATGGCTAATATGTACATTTTTATGTTCTTACCTTCTATGGTCTGTTTGAGCCATTATTTTGATAAGATGCTTAGTGAGGCCAAGGCTTTAAATGATATATATACTTAATGTAAATTCCAATGAGATTTTTTTTGTCTTAGATTCTTAAAACATTAATACAATTGTCTTTCTAGATTTTGTCCATGATAGAAGAAGCAGCTGGAACCAGGATGTATGAATACAAAAAAATAGCTGCCCAGAAAACTATAGAAAAAAAGGAGGCTAAGCTGAAAGAAATTAAGACGGTAATTAAATTTATATAAAACACTTTTAGAGAAGAGAGTGATTTTTCATTTAAAGTTTCTCTACTCCAAAGAGGGAAATTCCCCACCCTCTTTGTTTAGTTTTCCGGTCTCCTGTACTACTTCTCCTTTTGAAATTTTCTTAATGGTAGTTTACATACTGAAAAATTTGATTTTCCTTTATTTTTCAGATACTTGAAGAAGAAATTACTCCAACCATTCAAAAATTAAAAGAGGTATATACAATATATGTGAGGACATCCAGCTAGATAGAATCTCTCACAGTTGGTGATGTACCCAAGATCATACACCACAGGGATGAAATGTGTACTACATCTTAGGAATTATTTTCTGGAAGGAGATAAAGAATTAGAGTTGGTACCCCATATTCAGCCTTTCACTCAGAGAGAACATGTACTTTATATCTGTTAAGTCATAATGATTTTAGATAATCTCAGATAATGATATGCCAGGTTTTGATACTTTGTTGAAGGGAAATAAATCCAGGTTTGTTTTTTGTTGTTGTTTTTTTATAATTAAGAGTTAAACAGAACAACAGTTCTTAAAGATACAGTATTCTTAGTAACCCTTGTTGGTAGAGTGAGTAACTTAAAGGATACTAGGGTCTATCACAGTAATTACTACTTTCAAGGCATTTGGGGAAATGAAAGATATTGAAACAGATAATTAAGTTTTCTCTATAGTCTTTGCAGCTTCTGACATCATAATGTTTCAGGGAAAGAATACATTTATAGCACATTGTTTTTAAAGTTAGGCATTTAGGAATTTATTAAATTCTCATTAAAATTTGAAACTTCTCAGAGCTGTCTTCTGAATACATAGAATAGCATAAGTTATTGGAAAAACTGAACAATTGTAATTTTGAAGGTACCCCTTGTATGATTTAGTGTAAAACACTAGATAACAGTTTAAACCTACATTTCACACCTGATTTTGCCAAATTCTTTCTAAATCTGACAACATGGAAAGGTCATTTAACCACTCTGTGTTTCTTTGTCTACATATTAGGAATTTTCATTGTTACTTTGTGTGCCCCAGTTGGTCCTTAAGGGAATCAGGTTTAGTATTGTGTGAGTAAATGCTTGTAAATAATTACATGAATGAATGTTGGGTAGGCCTTTTGGTAATATGTATACTTTGTACTATACCATTTTTATATAAGGTACTTGAGCATCTTCAGATTTTGGTATCCACAGGGGTTCCTGGAACCAGACTTTCATGAATAAAGAGGGATGACTATATTATTACAAAATACATTTAATAGTGTATCACTGGTAGTTGTATAGGTTGTATTTATAGACTTCTTATGAACCCCAGTCTGTGAAACTATGTCTACATTTCTGTTAATCCCAACTGCCTGGTTATGTATTAGAAGAAATTTATTTCTTCTAATAACACATAGGATTCACTAGACTAAGTATAATGCTATCTAAAAAGCCAGAGTTCTGATGTTATTTCAAGTTTCCTAAAATTTATAATCCATGATCACATAGTCTAAGACAAAATCTGTTATGTAATGGGAAATTTTATACATGTTGCTGTAGTTTGATTCTTTCCAAATTTGTTTAAAAATAACAAATTTTGAGTTATGCTTTATTGATGATTTCTCTTTCAGGAAAGATCTTCCTACTTGGAGTATCAAAAAGTAATGAGGGAGATAGAACATTTGAGTCGTTTATATATTGCTTATCAATTTTTGCTGGCTGAAGATACCAAAGAACGCTCAGCTGAGGAGTTAAAAGAAATGCAAGATAAAGTTCAAAAGCTTCAAGAGGAATTGTCTGAGAATGATAAAAAAATAAAAGCACTTAATCATGAAATTGAAGAGTTGGAAAAAAGAAAAGATAAGGTAAGACATACATGTAAAAATAGATAATATACTCTGAACAAATACTAAATTATATACAATAACTAGGATTCACTAGGCATTGTCAATCTAATCTTTTAAAAAATAATTTATATAGAAGTCATAAAAAAGTAATGACTTGAACACATTTTAAGTATGTTGAATGAATTGGGTACATTTGATTATAGGAAATTGGAGGTATACTCCGATCCTTAGAAGATGCTCTTGCAGAAGCTCAACGTGTTAATACTAAATCTCAAAGTGCCTTTGATCTCAAGAAGAAAAATCTGACAAGTGAAGAGAACAAACGCAAAGAGCTGGAAAAAAATATGATTGAGGTAAGCAAGTAAGCTTAATATCACTATCATGCATTTATCCATTCTGTTAATATTTATTGAGGGACTGCTGTGGACCAAGTGTACTTGTTTGGATTTGTGGAGAAAGATGGTCCAGGCAGAAGAATAGTGCCCAAGGTATTGGAAAAGCAAGAACATCATTGTAGTAGGCTAACACCAAGCAGCAGGAATTCAGAAAGGTAATGGTATGTAGATTTGCATGTAGTTTTACAAGTCAATGTGAAGGACTTTGACCTACATTTCCAGTGACATGAGAAGCCACTGGAGTTGGTTAAGCAGAAATGTGACATTTCTAGTTTTTATTGGACCGTTTGTATTGTTTTTTATTCTTTAATTATAGTTGACATACAATTTTTTGTCTCAGGTGTACAGCTTAGTGATTAGACATTTATATAACTTACAAAATATTCAACTGAATAAATCTTGCACCCATCTGACACAATGCATAGTTATCACAATAATATTGACCATATTCCCTATGCTCTACGTCCCTGTGACTATTTTTAAAACTGCCAATTGGCACTTAATCCCTTCACCTTTTTTTACCCAGTCCCCTCCCATTTGGCAGCTGTTAATTTGTTTCTGTTTGTCTGACTTATTTCACTTAGCATAATGCCTTGTAGGTCCATCCATGTTATCAAAAATGGCAAGATCTCATTCTTTTATGGCTGGGTAATATCCGTTATATATATGTACTGCATCTTGATCCATTCATCTGTCAAAGGAAACTTAAGTTGCTTTCATATTGTGGTGGTTTTAAATAATGCTACAATGAACATTGGGTGCACATCTTTTCAAATTGGTGTTTTGGGTTTTTTTGAATAAATATGCAGCAGTAGGATTGCTGGGTCATATGGTAGTTCTATTTTTAATTTTTTGAGGACCCTCAATACCGTTTTTCATAGTGGCTTCACCAATTTACAGTGATGCCAACTGTGTACATAGGTTTCCTTTTCTCCACATCCTCACCAACATTTGTGTGTTGATTTATTGATGATAGTCATTCTAACAGGTCTGAGGTGATAACTCACTGCAGTTTTAATTTGCATTCTCTGATTAGTGACATTGAGCATCTTTTCATATGTCTGTTGACAACCTGTATGTTCTCTTTAGAAAAGTGTCTATTCAGGTCTTCTGCCCATTCGTTAATTGGATTGTTTGTGTTTTTTATGTTGAGTTGCATGAGTTCTTTATAAATTTTTATATTAGTTCCTACTTTATGATCAGATGTATCATTGGTGAATATGATCTTCTATTCAATAGGTTGTCTTTTAATTTTGTTGATGGTTTCTTCTGCTATGCAAAAACTTTTTAGCTTTGTGTAGTCTCGTTTATTTCATTGTTTCCCTTGCTGGAGGAGAAATATCCAAAAAAATATTGCTAAGATTGATGTCAAAGACTTTACTATCCACATTTTCTTCTAGGTTTTGGGTCTCACATTTAAGTCTTTGGTTGATTTTGAGATTGTTCTTGTAGGTGGTATAAGAAAGTGGTCTAGTTTTAATTTTTTTTTTGTATGTATTTGTCCAATTTTCCCAACACCATTTCTTGAAGACTGTCTTTGTCCAATTGTGTATTCTTGCCTCCTTTGTCATAGGTTAATTGACCATATATGCCTGGGTTTATTCCTGGTGTCTCTCTTCTGTTCCATTATCTGTATGTCTCTTTTTATACCAGTACCATACTGTTAATATAGCCTTCATATCAGGTGGCTTGGTACCTCCAACTTTGTTCTTTCTCAAGATTGCTTTGGCTATTTGGTGTCTTCTGTGGTTCCGCATAAATTTTAGGATTATTCTAGTTTTGTTTAAAATGACATTGGTATTTTGATAGGGGTTACATTGAATCTGTAGATTGCTTTGAGTAGTAAGTTCATCTGATGATGTTAATTTTTTCTATCCATGAGCACAGTATATATCCTTCTATTTATTTGTTGGTTGATTCTGGTATATAGCACGACCTGGGATAGACCTCTGGGATAGACTTTGGCATATTGAGATGATATTCTAACCAACTGAACTGTCTGGCCAGGGCCTAAAAATATTTTTATATACATGTTCTTAATCTTAAAAACTACTTTTAAGGTTGGTGTAGGATGGCTAGCGTTAGAATTTTTTAGATTTAGAAACTGATTTTTTAGTTTCTTCTAGTGGTTTAAATTTGTAGTGTTTTAGCACATTCTCTCTCAGCTTTGACCATAACACATGAAAGTATTTCTAGTAGGATAAGAGGCACATTTATCCTAAAATCAGAGAGCGAATTTCAAAATGGGAATAAAGTATTTAAAGTTACGGTTAAATTATTTTCCTTATTACCATGCCTATTTCAAATTGCTGTGAAGTTTGGTGACATGAGTGTACATGTGTATAAGAAAATGGATGTTTCTCCTAAAATATAAACTTTCCAATCTGAAACTCTTACTTCCTGTAGGATTCTAAAACTTTAGAAGCAAAGGAAAAAGAGGTTAAAAAGATAACAGATGGGCTGAACACCCTCCAAGAAGCAAGTAATAAAGATGCCGAAGCTTTGGCTGCAGCACAGCAGCACTTCAATGCTGTTTCCGCTGGCCTGTCCAGTAATGAGGATGGAGCAGAAGCAACTCTTGCTGGTCAAATGATGGCTTGTAAAAATGACATAAGTAAAGCTCAGACGGAAGCCAAACAGGTAAATATAGGTGTTAAGCACTATCATTATTTCTTTTTTTTTTTTATCCTCGCCCAAGGACTTTTTTTTTTTTTGCATTCATCTTCAGATAGAGAGGGAATAAGAGAGAGAGAAACATCGATGTGAAGAGAGACACATCGACTGGTTGCCACCCACATGACCCCAATCGGGGCTGGGGACAAACTGCAACCCAGGTACGTGCCCTTAGCGGTAACCGAACCTGGGTATCTCTGGTCCGCAGGCCGACGCTCTAACTGCTGAGCCATGTCTGCCAGAGCTATCATTATTTCTTTTGTTTTTGAAAGATGCTGCACATTTATGCTTTGGCAGTTGTTATAAAATGTTAAAAACTAATCAGGCCTTTGTCAAGGAACTTGTTACTTTATTCTGCCACTATAATCTAATATAATAAAATTTAAATATGTTGATTGCTAAATATTGATGATAGTTTAAGATGCTTTGAAACCTAAAATACCTTTATAGGTTAATTATTAGTGCAATAAGTGCTTTATTCCTTTTCCAGCACTTATGAAAAATTTGAGGTTAGTCCATTTATTTTTTTGCGGTATTTATTGACATTATAAACTTGAAGTACTAAGCTTTAACAGGAAAAGAAAAGTGTCCTCTCCATTTTTATGCCCACAACATCTAGTTCTTAAAACCTTGGTTCTGAAACTATACAACATACTCTTTGGAAGTATCTCTACCTCCCATTTACCCCCATTTTAGCCTTTGGTTTTCCTACTCTCATAATTTTCAAAGGCTTGTCAATCTGTTAGAATGGTTTTCAAATTTGTTTAGATAGTTGTGCAAATTCAAGTCCTATGAATACAAGACTTTTGATGGGAGAAAGGAAAAATGTGTATATAAATGTTCTTTTAGTCTTCTGTTAATGGAAGACTCATCTAAAAATATATACAGGTGTGTGTTTGTGTATTAATCCTATTCAAGGTTTTCTATTACCGTATTTGCCACTTTTTCATTCAGTGACAATGGTCACAAAATCTGTAAAAAATATGTAGCCAAAAAACTTCAAAGTCCTCTCAATATTTTTGTAAACTTATTATATTAGGAAAAGTCTATCATTGTTCAGTTTTAAAGGGAGGATACACCCATATAGTGCTTAAAATACTAGTTCATGGTTTTAAGGAATAGTGCTCAATAATATAAACTAGCATTTGACTATCAGACTTCTTGAATTTAAATTACTGTTGGTTTAGCCCAGCCCGGGTGGCTCAATGGATTGAGGTCGTCCCATGAAGGTCCTGGTTCAATTCCTGGTCAGGGCACATGCTCAGGTTGTGGGCTCTATCCCCAGTGGGGGGAGTGCAGGAGGCAGCTCATTGATGTTTCTCTCTCACATCAATGTTTTTGTCTCTCCCTTCCTCTCTCTAGAAAATCAGTAAGAACATATTTTAAAAAGAATTTTTAAGAAATAAATAAATTACTGTTAGTTTAGCTTCTCTTTTCCTATGTAGTGTTATTTCTCAATACAGACAGCCTCACAAACATACAGGTACAATCTAAGTGGAAAGGAAAAAAACTTGAGTTAGGATTTCTAGCTTTCTGTTGTTTTTAATTTAACCAGCTAATGACAAGTATTCTTTGATATAAATTAATGTCATATTTTATAAATATTAAAAAGAACTTAAAATGCAAATTATTTAATGACTTATGTTAAGCATATATTAGTTTTTACTCTGAGTAGTTCTTTGAAGAGAAAATGTTGGGAAATGATTGATCTGTTGAGATATTAATCCAAGTGACCAAACAGTTGCATTTTCAAGGCTGATTCTGTTAAACCAATCTGAATCTGTGACCATTTAATCACTAGCACTGTCTGCCTCAGATAATCTGTTACATTTTCCTTTGCAGGCTCAGATGAAGTTGAAACATGCCCAACAAGAATTAAAGACTAAACAAGCTGAAGTTAAGAAGATGGATAGTGGCTACAGGAAGGATCAAGAAGCTTTAGAGGCCGTGAAGAAACTTAAAGAAAAACTTGAAGCCGAAATGAAAAAGCTAAATTATGAAGGTTTGCCTTTAAAGACATGCTATTAGATCATTAGGAGGTAGTGACTGTTGGTGGAAAATAACTTAAATAAAAGAAATAGCAAGTAATTAAGTTTTTTATTCTATTAATGGGTTATTAGTATAAGAAATGTTTGTAAATGTAGTCACAGAAATATCTAACTATAAAACAGTGCTTCGAAGTTTTGAAGACTAACAATTTCCTGCTTCAGTCACTCTGAAGTGCCACTTGAAAACTCAAATATGTCATTTGTGTGTTTCTACATTAATAGGCATTCAATTCATGTACTGTGTTTTGGAATGGAAATTGTATTTGTCAGAAATGTCTATTTGACACTTGATTCAAACTTAAAACTTATTATTTTGCTTCTAGAAATGCTTTGGAAATAGAGATTACTAATATTTTCCTCAAAACAGTAGAATATTTCAGTTTTTAAAACTTGATTTTAATTTACTTATGATTTGCTATTTAGAAAACAAGGAGGAAAGCCTTCTGGAAAAGCGAAGGCAGTTATCACGTGATATCAGTAGATTGAAAGAAACATATGAAGCTCTCTTGGCCAGATTTCCCAATCTTCAATTTGCTTACAGGTAAGAGATTTATGTCTTGAATTTTAACATAGTAATAACAAAGACATGTTTTCATTTTGGCTGGAAGGCGATCTGAAAATTTTATGGACGTTAAGATTTTTGTATGAAAATGATTGTAAACTGCTTTACCTTAATTGCTTTCTTTCCTTTAAACATTTATTGAACTGTTTCAGATGTGGGCAGAGGAAATTCTTTAATGACTGCTAATGCCACCAGTCTTAAAACCAAAATGAGGGAAATTTAATCTCAGTCCAAGTTTTCTTTAAAGTTTCTCTATCCTTTGTTCAGTATCTACATTAACATTTTACAATTTGATTTTCTGCATCGGATTTTTTTTATCAAAGGCTGTGGTCACTTATGTATTACAAAGATTAGAAAGTTGAAGTTCAGCCTGGCTGATGTGGCTCAATGGATTGAGCGTCATCCTGTGGACTGAGAGGTCCTGGTTTGATTCCTGGTCAGGGCACATGCCTGGATTGTGGGCTCCATCTCCAGCAGGGGGCGTGCAGGAGGCAGCCCATCAATGTTTTTGTCCCTCATCAATGTTTCTCTCTCATCAATGTTTCTGTCTCCCTCTTTCTCTAAAAATCAATAAAAACATATATATTTTTTTTAAAGTCAAAGTTCTGTTTGTTACATTGAAACAATATATACTAAAAGAGCTTTTGATTGCCATCTGGGACATTTTAAAATTTTTGTTAAATCTATATGTCTTCTGCTTTCAGTTTAATGTGTTGTCAGAAAGAGCTCTTGAGTATTAATATATATACAACTTTTTCTGTTTTCTTATTTAAGAATGACTTTTGTTAACTTTTCCATTTTAGAGATCCAGAAAAGAACTGGAATAGAAATTGTGTGAAAGGACTTGTAGCTTCTTTGATTAGTGTGAAAGATACTTCTGCAACCACAGCTTTAGAATTGGTGGCTGGGGAACGACTCTACAATGTTGTAGTAGATACAGAGGTAAATTGATTTTAATAAAGGGATTTATAATTGCTGTTGAACTTGAAAGTCATGTCCTGCTAGAAGATTTGGGTACTTTCTTGATGTTTTAAGCTTCTCCCAAGGTTGCTTATCTTTACAGGGTAAAACTATTCAGTTAATGATGTTTTTACTGTTTTACCCGTTATATTATATTTGATTAGCTGTATTTCAGAGTAAGTCTCATGCTTCACTTAGGAATCCAGAACACATATTATCAATCTAAGACTTTTAGTTGTTCGGGATAGTAGGCATTGAACATTTATTTGAGTATGGATTCCTAAGTGTACACTCTTTCCATTTGAATGTTTTGTGTCATCATTAATAATATATATGCATTTTTTAATTTCACATGCACAATGTTTTAGGTTACTGGAAAAAAGCTACTAGAAAAGGGGGAATTGAAGCGTCGATACACTATAATTCCACTCAACAAAATTTCAGCCACATGTATTGCTCCAGAAACTCTGAGGATTGCTCAGAATCTTGTAAGTCTTATTTATAAGTTTCATCTCTCTTTTTTTAAAATTAGAGGACATTAATTTTGGGATACTTAATTGTATGCAGAACCACAAGATTTTGTTGCTACCATGCTTTAAAATATTGAGATACAAAAAAATGGAGTTGATGTTTGTGAAATTAGATAGAAAGAATTAAAATCTTGTAAGACCAAACTTCCTTTGATGTTTCAAAGTTGTGGTATTAGAATCTCTAACCCTTAAGTCAAGTCACATGGCTATCAGGTGGTAGTTATACAGTCACCCACCCAATAAAGACATTTTGGTTAACAAGGGACCCTGCATAAGGCCTTGATCCTATAAGATTATAATGGAGCTGTAAAATTCTTAAGGCTTAGTGAAGTCCTAGCCTTAGTAATGTTGTAACACAACATATTACACAAATACCACTGTGTTACAGTTGCCTGCAGTATTCCATACAGTAACATGCTGTACAGGATTGTAGCTTAAAAGCTGTAGGGAAACAGAATATGTCACCCCCAAATATGTCTATTTAGCATAAATTATTTTAGGCTTATTGACTTGAAGAAACTGCAGACCTGAGAGCAGGTTTGCAAACAAAGAAAGTAGAAGTTACCCTTTATAAAAGATATTTACATTTGTAAGTGTGTCTCTCTCTACATCTGGAAGAGGAGGGTGACCTTAGCTCTAGAAACTCATATCAATACAAAAGATAAGGAAGTAAATCTGCATAACAAGCTTACTTTGTTTACTGTGCCTTTATGGTAACCTCTCATAACTGACTCTCCTCACCCGAACAACTTCTTTTTTCTCTAAAGATGCAAGACCTTAAGGTGATGGCTTCAGCCATTTTGAGGAGTTACCTAGTTTTCCTGGGTCTCTCCCATGTATAAAGGAGGAATATATGTTATTAAACTTTTGTTTTTCTCCTGTTAATATACTTTTCATAGGGATATCTCAACCAAGAACCCAGACTGGGTAAAACGAAAACTATTTTTCCTCCCGTACAGATCAATAGAGTAGTTGTATTGTAGGCTTTACCACCGTGGTTTGTGTAAGTACACTCTGGGATGTCTGCACAATGATTAAATTGCCTAACAATACATTTCTTAGAACATAACCTCCATCATGAAGTGACACTTGATTGTATTAAATTTCTATTTTCTGAATAGTTAGAATTACAGAGTTTATAAATACTGGAATTCTTCAGTTTTGTTTTGTTTTGTTTTTTATCCTCACCCGAGGACATTTTTCCATTTTTTGTTCAGATAGAGTGGGAGGGAGAGAGAGAGAAACATTGACGTGAAAGGGACACATCGAGTGGCTGCCACCCCCGCACGACCTACCAGGGCTGGGGACAAACTGCAACCGAGGTACGTGCCCTTAGCGGGAACCAAACCCGGGTCTCTCTGGACCACAGGCCAGCGCTCTGACTGCTGAGCCAAACCAGCCAGGGCAATTCTTCAGTTTTTTTATGCCAGGCACACATACACTGTCCATAACAACAATAATGGACGGTGTCCATTAGTCTTGCAGAGATGCTTCTCTGTTGGAATTCTTCTGTATTGCCTTTTCAGTCTATGGATGTACAAAACATGACAGAGATATCCAGTCAGCTGCTGAGGTGTAGCTCAAATGGTATGGCTACTAATAAAAAAATAGATGAGTATAAGGAAGTTCATTTAAAAGGTTATTATGGTTGTATAATATTGAGTAAAAAACATGAATTCAGATGTAACATTCAGCAGCAATATCAATTCATTACTGAGTAGTCATTTCAAACATATGAATTGAAAAGACAGTTCTATGAAACCTAGCAATGCATTTGTAATTAAGATAATAAATGGATATTCAGTATACTTGCTAAAATTGAGAAGCCTTCAATGGAAATTATTTCAAAGTACAATTGTGTTGATCTGTACACTGTCAGGAGGTGGAAGATGAGTGCACAGTAATTGAAAGGCGGTATTTTGGGTTGATACTTATTTTATTTTAAGGCTTTGGACATTATTTCAGCCTTAGGTCCAGTTCCAGTATTAGAAGTAAATTGGAATTTCAAGTAATAGTAAAAATACTTCATCTACATCCCTTAGCCAGTTACATTGCATGGTAGCTGCAATGTCAGGGTACAATGCTGAACATATGTTACATAGAGCTGCTTTTATTTTTACTTCTGCTGCTGCTAAGCTTCATAAAGAATGTTTAGGCCCTGGCCGGTTTGGCTCAGCGGTTAGAGTGTTGGCCTGCTGACCAAAGAGTCTCGGGTTTGATTCTGGTCAAGGGCATGTACCTCTTTTGCGGTTTGGTCCCCAGCCCTGGTTGGGGTCATGTGGGAGGCAGCCAATTGATGTCTCTCTCTCTCTATCTCCCCGCCCTCCCACTCTATCTGAAGATAAATGGAAAAATATCCTCGGGTGAGGATTAAAAAAAAAATGTTTACTTGTTCTAAAAGGACTGAGGGATTTTTTTTTTAAGTGGTTTTTTATTTTTAATTTAATTAAATTAATTTATTTATTTTTATTACAGATGTTTCTCCTTTTTCCCCCACTGACACCCTCTCCGCCCCTCCCCGCCCTGTCCCCAGCTTTGTTGTCCATGTCCATTGGTCATGCATACATGCATATAAGTTCTGTGGTTTATCTCTCCACCCCACCCCCTCTTCTAGGGATTGTCGGTCTGTACCCCACTTCCACGTCTCTGGGACTACCCTGTTTTTCAGACTGTTATGTTCATTATATTCCACAAATAAGTGAGATCATACGATACGATACTTGTCTTTCTCTGTTTGGCTTGTTTTTTACTCTCAGTCGTGTTTTTATTTCTGTAACTGACAGGTAACTACCCTGGCATGTTTAATTTGAATGAAAAAACATTCACTGTGGAACAACCATATTACTAATAATTGAAACAAAACATTTTTATGTTTTAATGTTGATCCAGCAGTTGCTGTATTTTAATTAAGAAAGTATGTCCAAATAGTCCATTTTGGATTTAGAAACTTTATAGGGCCCCTACTTGGAAGCAATACTCAATAGGTCTTTCTGTGTTTAAATTTGAAATTGTTTTTTTCCCCCTAAAACTCTTGAGATTTCCATAGCATCTTAGAAACTTCAAAAGGAATTATAGTGCTAGGTAAGTATTACCTGTATTTTTATAGCAGTTCTTACTACTTGATAAAATAATTTTGAAAGGAAAGGAGTATCGTGTACTACGACACATCTGTTGTTTTCCTACAGGTTGGCCCTAACAACGTTCATGTGGCTCTTTCCCTCGTTGAATACAAACCAGAACTTCAGAAAGCAATGGAATTTGTCTTTGGAACAACTTTTGTTTGTGACAATATGGACAATGCAAAAAAGGTAGCCTTTGATAGAAGGATAATGACTAGAACTGTAACTCGAGGAGGTGAGGTATTTGATCCTCATGGGACATTGAGTGGAGGTAGGTTTTATATCATTTTGTCCTCATAATTCTGTGTGATAAATAGGATGAGGGCTTTTATTGTCTCTAACAGGAACTGGTACGGTTGAAATGACTTAATCCACAGTTTTCCTAATCTAGGAATTGGGTTTTCTTTTGAATACCTACCATGTGACAGGTATTTAATAATATTGAGAGACTACATGATACCATAGTCCTCAAGGAGTACTAGTCTAGGCATCAATCTTGTAGCTTTTTTATTCATCTCAAGGAAGTCTGTTTTTGTTTATTTTCCTCTTGCTTTTTGCCCTACCAGGATATTCTGATCACTGGGAAACGAAGTCTTTTTATTCAGTACATTTTTAGCTTAACTACCCATTTCTCCTTCAGCAAACATGTTAACTTCTAATTTGTATATGCCTTTGCTCCTGCAAAAGTAAAAATTAAATCTGCCCTTGAGATGATACTTTTTTAATGCTTTAAGAAAGGAATTCTTAGATAACGATAATGTTAATTCTCTTGTTCTGATGTTTGCCACATTGAGTTTCCAGGTCTATGTCAAGTGATCCTAGAATAACAAACACTGAATAATATTTACTGTATACAGCAGTGTTTTAAGACCGTGCTGTCCAAAAGTGTAACTGTTAGCCACATGTGGCTCTTTACGTTTAAATAAATAATCAGTATTAATTAAAAGTAAAAATAATTTTCTCAGTTGCACAAGTCACATTTTAAGGGCTCAATAACCATAAATAATTAATGGGTAACTGGAAAATGCAGATATAGAATATCTCTATCATTTTATAAAACTATTCTAAGGGCTTTAAATAATTAACTCATTTAATCCTTATAGCATCTATAAGGTAAGCATATTACTATCATCTCTAATATACAGTATTTGAGTCTAGGTAGTCTAATTACAAAGTTTGTGCTTTTAACTAAACCAAGAGGTTGTATAACACCTCTTACAATGTCAAGTGACTTAAAATGAATTCCATGATCAAGTATTAAGTTCCTGATACACAGTAAGATGACTAGTAGTTACAATTGGATTTAAACAGAAGAAACTAGGTTTTATTGATTTGCATATTCTTGTAGTTCCTACTTAAGGGAAGGCAAATATGTAACCCATATCATAATATGAAATATTCATAAGGCAATACTAATTGACCTTTTATTTTTATTTTTTTAAATTAATTAATTTATTTTTGTTACAGTTGTTTCTCCTTTTACCCCCACTGATTCACCTCTCCCCTTCCCTGCCCGCCCTGTCGCCAGCTTTGTTGTCTATGTCCATTGTTCATGTATATAAGTTCTGTGGTTTATCTCTTCGCTCCCCCTTCACCCCCTCTTTTGGGGATTGTCAGTCTGTACCCCACTTCCACGTCTCTGGGACTACCCCCCTCTTCAAACTATTATGTTCATTATATTCCACAAATAAGTGAGATCATATGATACTTGTCTTTCTCTGGCTTGTTTCACTTAGGATAATACTTTCCAGGTCCCTCCATGTCATCTCAAAGGATAAGAGATCTTTCTTTCTTATAGCTGCATAGTACTCCATTGTGTATATGTACCACAGCTTTTTTATCCATTTGTCTACTGATGGACATTTGGGCTGTTTCCAGATCTTAGCTATTGTAAATAGTGCTGCTATGAACATGGGGCACATATATTTTTTCTGATTGGTGTTTCAGGCTTCTTAGGGTATATTCCAAGAAGTGGGATCACTGGGTCAAATTGCAGTTCACTAATTGACCTTTTTAATATATATGTTTTTATTGACTTTTTATTTATTTTTTAATATTTTTTTTCTTTACTGGTTTTTAGAGAGAGGAAAGGAGACGGAGAGAGAAACATTGATGAGAGAGAACATCGATTGGTCGCCTCCTGCATGCCCCCCACCAGGGATCAGGCCCTCAACCTGGGCATGTGCCCTGATGAGGAATTGAACTGGTGACCTCTTGGTGCATGGCTCAACGCTTAACCAGTGAGCCACACAGGTGGGGCATATTTTTATTGACTTATTAGAAAGAGAGGAAGAGAAAGAGAGAAACATTGATGTGACAGAGAATCATTGATCAGCTGCCTCCTGCATGCTCCCTAATGGGGATTGGAGCCTGCAACCCAGGCATGTGCCCTAACCAGGAATTGAACTGGGACCTCTCAGTTCATGGGACAACATTCAGTCCACTGAGCCACTCCAGCTGGGCACTAATTGACCTTTAGATTCTCCTATCAAACCTACAGTTTTCTTGCCAATATAACACCTCAGCCTGTCACTGCCAGACAGTTGCTTATAAAATGAAACCAATTTTCTCTGCTATATCAGAGTTCAGACAAGGTTTTGATGTAGTAACAGACAACCCTCAAATCTTAGTGCCTTACAAGGTATTTTGTTTTATTGTTTTTTTGTCATAATTATGCTACACTAACTGTAGGTCAGCTGTCTCTATTTCATGCTACTCTCATTCTGGGACCCGGGTGGAAGGAGAAATGGGCAATGGGGAAAATATGGTGAATTAGGTGCTGTTTCTCAGGGCTTACTTTTAAAAGAGGCACATTTCCCGTTATGTTGACCAGAGCAAATTACATGGCTAAACCCGATGTTAGTGGGGAGGAGAATGGGCCCGGGAGGGGTGGGCCCAGTAGGCAGGGGCAGTGATTATTTTGAATAAATAATCCGTCACATCTTAGACGTATTTACCAAGTATATATGCTCTCAGATTTAAATGATGAAGTGAATTCTGGAACTTCGTAAGCTCACTGTAAAAGATTGGCTGTGGAATCATTTCAAGTATAATTCTCTTAGCAAACTTTTTATTGTTTACTAAATATGTGATAACTTACTGTCCAAGGCCCCTTTCAATTTGCTTCTATCAGGTGCTCGATCCCAGGCGGCTTCTATTTTAACCAAATTTCAAGAGCTCAAAGATGTTCAAGATAAGCTGAGAATCAAGGAGAATGAGCTACGGGCCCTAGAAGAGGAATTAGCTGGTCTTAAAAACACTGCTGAAAAGTAAGACTTCTGTTGAATTAATCTGTATATATATTTATGTATACATTTTGGTAGAAGATTTGGTAGAAAAGGAAAGAAAATCTACTTTTATTTAAAGAAATACAAATTCTGACTTTTTTACACTATCTTTAGTTTTAATTGAATAAGTTGTGAGTTGATAACTTGTTTATCAGTTATTTTTCTAATAAAATAATGTCTTTGTTATAAGAAATTACAGAAAGCTAATTAAACAAAAGGAAGGAAAAAAGGCAAATAATCCCCTTTCCCTTTAAGATACTCTGCTGGGATTGGTGGGGAAACTCATAAGTATTCTGGAAGTTGATAGCAGTGATACTTACATCCTCGATTTGAATGATTAGATACAGTGTAGCAGTGACTTGAGCAGTGTGATGGCTGTCCTATAGCTATTGAAGATCACTAGGTTGCCTGTGGAGGAGGTAAACACGTTCATGTCAGAAAGTCACTGCTAAAATTAAAATGTGAAATGTGTCCTTGTATGTTCTGTGGGTGTAGCTATAGGTATGTATGTGTACTTTTAGTATTACTTCTGTTTTTATATGGTACAAGGTATATGCATGTTATCATATTTTCAAAATTGGGACCATGCTGTTTAATGTAATCTTTTGTCATTTAACATTATTCACTATCGTTGCCTCCTTCTGTGTGCAAATACTCTTATAGGTGGACCTGGAATACAGTGATAAATCAAACAGATAAATCTCTTCCTTCATCTCATTTATATATATAAGTTGGTAAAAACAATAAAAAAAAGTTAAATTGGTAAAACATATGTTAGATAACACTAATTTCTAAGGAGAAAAAAGTAAAACAGGAAAGGAGGTGTGAGCCATCCAGGGTGAACAGGGGCTGAAATTACAGATTGGTTGTCCAGGGAAAGCCTGCATTTTACCTGCAGTAACAGAAATTAACCATAAAGTGTCTGAGCTTTTTCTGTGAGAAAAATGCAACAAAATTTCCCTGAGACAAGTGGAAGCTCTGGCAAGGCATTGAGTTTATGGTCACATTTGGCTTAGAACTGTTAACTTCGTTCAGCAGTAATGGATCATTTATTTTGCAGAATTGTCTTGTAGACTAATTGTGGCACTGAGGTCAAGGAAAGGAAATGGGTTTTGAAACTATATGAGACTGTTAGGGTCAACTAAAGCTATTCTTTCATAAAACGTATCAGGAACATAACTTTTTTTAAATGAATTGAAAAATGACTAACTTAAAATTATGGTTTTAATTGATGTCAAGAAGTCTGAGGCAAGATACTCAAGGAAGTATTTATTTTATACTTTTTCCTCAAACCCTCATGAATTTCTAGTGACAAGCTACCTTGAGGATTTATTATAACTTGAAATTTAACTGTAGCTAAATGACTTCTAAAGAAATAACTAAGCAGCCAGAACTGGAGTAGAAGTACAGGGTTTGCAAGAAAAGTGCATTGCAAACGTGTACTCAGTACTGTGTGTCTCGTTAGAAAATGTGGGGAACATCATTTTTTAAACATTTGAAAATGGAGATTACTAGATAACCAAATTTGAGATTTTGTGTAAATTATTATATAGTATTAATCGGGTTTTTGGTGGGGAGCCAAAATATCTCAGAGAAATATTTCCTTTTGGTAAGGATTAGTAGGAAGGATTATTTTTAAGGAAGCCTATTTTATTCAATGATGATTTTTAGTGTTTTCTAAAATTAAGAGTATTTCTGTAAATAGTTATTATCAGTCTTAGTCCTTTAGAGTTTTTAACCTCCAATGACCAAATCAGACTTGAATTTAATTGATTCCTCAAAACTGTTCTTAACAACCAGTGTCTTCTTATAGTGTTTGTATTTAGTATGTGAGTTTATTTTAGGTAAAAGCCTATAGTTTGAATGTATGTCTCAAACATCAGAAAATTTGTGTTTGTAACAAACTTCTCTTTTTCTAAGGTATCACCAACTAAAACAGCAGTGGGAGATGAAAAGTGAGGAGGCGGATTTATTACAAACCAAGCTCCAGCAAAGCTCATATCACAAGCAACAAGAAGAATTAGATGCTCTTAAAAAAACTATTGGTAAGATAAAGAACTGTGCTTGATCTGTTTCTGGTAACCTTTAGGTATTTAGATCTTATCTTTATTATATATTTATTCGAGTTATCTTTAATACTTATTTTAATTATTATTCATTATGATTATTGCCAAATTCTGCCCATTTGTAGCAGTATACGTTTGCACTAGTAGCATATGAAAGTTCTCATTTCTCCAAATCCATTCCTTTTTCAGACTTTTAAAATTCTTCAATCTGTTGTGCAGAGGTAGTTCATTAGCATTTAATTTGCATTTCCCTGATTACTCATGAAGTTTGGGATCTTTATTGTGTGTTCCTTGGTTTCTGCTTTTGTGAATTTTTTCCTCCTTTTTTTTTCTCTGGGGTTGCTTGTAGTGTGTCTGTTGTTTTCATTCTGATTTCTTATAGGTTATCTGCATTAATATTCTTGGCTCATGCTTGTCTATTAACCTTGTTTATATTTATAGTATTTTTGTTATACAGAAGTTTTTTGTTTAATGTGATTCAATTTATAGATATCTACCTAATTTTAAGATCCTATCTTAACAGTTTTAATCAGAATTTAATTGTATATGGTAGTTTTAATTTTTCTTGTTCCTTAGAAAAATATCCACATACCTGTTTCCCTACTAATATTTTAATTTTTTTTTCTTTTATAAAATAAAATTTTTTTTTTACTCCCCACCCTCTGCCTCCTGCAGTCTGTTCTCTGTGTCTGTGAGCTCAGATATTTTGTAGTAATTTTTAAGATCCCATGTGTAGGTGAGATCATATGACGTTTGTCTTTCTGACTCATTTCACTTAGCACAATGCCCTCAGGTCCATCCACATTGTCCCAAACATCAAGATTTCTTTCTTTTTTATGGCTGAATAATATTCCTATGTATGTGTGATATTTTCTTTATTCATTCATCCACAATGGACTCTTAGGTTGTTTCCCACATCTTGGCTGTTGTGCATAAGGCTACAATGAACATGGTGAGGGGTTGTATATATTTCTTTGAGTTGGTGTTTTATTTTTTTCCAGATAAATACCCAGAAGTGGAATTACTGGATCATTATTGTAGTCCTATTTTTATTTATTTATTTATTTAAAATATTTTTATTGATTTTTTTTTTTAGAGAGAGAGAGAGAACCATCAATCGGCTGCCTCATGCACGCCCTCTACTGGGGATGGAGCCTATAACCTGGGCACATGCCCTGACCAGGAATTGAACCAGGACCTTTCAGTCCATGGAATGATGCTCAATCCACTGAACCACATCGGCTGGGCAGTACTATTTTTAATTTTTTGAGGAATCTCCATGCTGTTTTTGGCTGCACCAGTATACATTACCTGCACAGCGCACAAGGGTTCCCTTTTCTCCACATCCTTGACAACATGTATTTCTTGCCTTTTTGATAAGTCATTCTTAAAAGTAGAGATGATATCTCATTGTGGTTTTTATTTGAATTTTCCTGATGATCAGCGAGGTTAACTATCTTTTCATGTAACTGTTGGTTATTGAAGCCTTCTGTGCAAAATGTGTGTTCACAACTTCTGCCTATTTTACTAATTGGATTTTCCTTTTCAGTTGTATGAGTTTTTATATATGTATATATTTTTTTAGCTATTAACCTCTTATCAGATATGTTATGCAAATGTTTTCTCCCATTTAGAGAGTTGTCTTTTCATTTTGTTAATAGTTTCCTTTGCTGTGCAGAAGTATTTTAGTTTGATGTAGTCCTTCTTGTTGATGTTAGCTTTGGTACTAAATCCAAAAAGTCATAACCAAGATTTCCCTATGTTTTCTTCTAGGAGTTTTATGACTTTAGGTCTTATGTTTAAGTCTAATCCATTTTATGGTATAATAGTCCTTTTTCATTCTTTTGCTTGTGGCAGTCCAGTTTTCCCAGCACCATATTTTAAAGACATTATCCTTTTTCCATTATATATTCTTGGCCCCTTTTTTGTAAATTAATTGACCGTTTTTGCATGGGTTAATTTTAGGTTCTTTATCCTGTTCCATTGATCTATGTTTCTGTTTTTATGCCAGTACCATACTTTTTTGATTACTAAAGCTTTGTAGTATACTTTGAAATCAGGGAGTGTGATACCCTCCGCTTTGTTTTTCTTTCTTAAGCTTGTTTTGGCTGTTTGGAGTCTTTTTTGGTTTCATACTAATTGAGAGGTATTTGTTCTAGTTCTGTGAAAAATAACATTAGGATTTCTTTTTTTAACCCTCACCCGAGGATATTTTTTCCATTGATTTTTCAGATAGAGTAGGAGGGGAGAAGGAGAAAGAGACTGATGTGAGAGACGCATTGATTGGCTGCCTCCCACATGACCCCAAACAGGGCCGGGGACAAACTCCAACCGAGGTACATGCCCTTGACCAGAATTGAACCCACGACTCTTTGGTCCGTGGGCTGATGCTCTAACCTTTGAGCCAAACTGGCCAGGGCTGACATTAGAATTTTGATAGAGATTTCATTGAATTTGTAGGTTACTTTGGGTAGGTAGTATGGACATTTTAATGATGTTAATTTTCTTAATCTATGAGCATGGAATATCTTTTCATTTATTAGTGTCATCTTCAATTTCTTTTTATCAATGTCTTATAGTTTTCATTGTACAAGTCTTTCAACTTCCTGGATAAATTCATTCCTAGGTATTTTATTCTCTTTGATGTAGTTGTAAATGGGATTGTTTTTAAATTTTTCTTCTGATAGTTTTTTATTAGCATATAAGAACATTAACAGAAATTTAGTATATTGATTTTATATGCTGCAACTTGACTGAATTCATTTATTCTAACAGTTGTTTGGTGGAATCTTCAGGGTTTTTTATATGTATGTCATCCGTAAATAATGACAGTTTTACTTCTTCCTTTCCAATTTGGATGCCTTTTTTCTTGCCTAGCTGCCCTGGGCCAGGACTTCCAATACTATGTTGTATAAAAGTAGCTAGAGCGGGCACCCTTTTCTTGTTCCTAATCTTAGAGGAAAAGCTTCAGGTTTTTCACTGTTGAGTATGATGTTAACTGTGGACCTGTCATATATGGCCTTTATTATGGTGTGGTATATTCCCTTTACACACATTCTGTTGAGAGTTTTATCATAAATGGATGTTGAATTTTGTCTAGTACTTTTTCTGTACCATTGAGATCATAATTTTTAGCCTTCATTTTGTTAATGTGGTACACATCACATTGATATTTGCTGATGTTGCACCATTGATCATGAGGAATGATCCTTTTCATGTATTATTGAATTCAATTTACTAATGTTTTGGGGATTTTTGCATCTATGTTCATCAAGGATATTGGCCTGTAATTTTCTTGTGGCATTCTTGTTTGGTATCAGGGTAATGCTGACCTTGTAAAATGAGTTTGAAAGAGTTTCTTCCTCTTCTGTTTTTTTAGAGGGTTTTGAGAAGGGCTGGTATTACTCGTCCTTTGAATGTTTGATAGAATTCACCAGTAAAGCCCTCTGGTACTGGACTTTTGGCGGGGGGGTGGGGGGGGTTGATTACTGATCCAACCTTGTTCCTCGTAATTTGTTCAGATTTTATATTTCTTCATGATTTAGTCTTTGTAGGATGTATAGGTTGAATCAAAATTACTTTGTGTCCCAGGAGAATCAACCTCACTCGGACACAAAGTAATTTTGAAAATTAGGAGCTTTATTACCTGCGCAGGGACTGCAGCCAACCTACACAGAGGAGAACTGCAGCCCCGAGCTCAGGGGGAGGGTTGCTTATATAGGACAGGGGTCATTCAAGAGTTTAGCAGAGCAAGCCAGCTATGTGTACAGAAGCGGAGGCAGTTAGCGATAAGCAGGAGGGAACGGAGGGGGGAGGGAGCTGAGGCAGGAGGGAACTGGGTGAACTGTGTCAGCATACATCTATCCTGCTATTCATTTTATTATCTAAGTTTTAAAAACTAACAAATTCACTTAGAGGACACATTCATTTAGAGGAGTGTCAGGCCAGCTGATACTTCCTCAGGTTGCCTCTGGAAGCTTCATAGTTGGCCTTTTGTTTATTTAATCAGGACAAAGTGATAGGAGCAGGTTATTACATAGGTTCTCCAATTTGTTGGCATATAATTGTTTACAGTATTTGTGATATTTTGTATTTATATGGCGTTGGTTGTAACTTCTCTTACTTTGAGTCTTCTCTCTGTGTGTCTGTGTGTGTGTGTGAATTCAGCTAAAAGTTTGTCAATTTTGTTTTTGTTTATTCTTTTAAAGAACAAAACAGTTCTTGGTTTTGTTAATAGTTTCTAATGTCTTTTTAGTCTTTATTTCCATTCTGATCTTTGTTACTTCCTTTCTTCTACAAACTTTGGGCTTTGTTCTTCTTTTTCTAGTTCCTTGACACGTGAAGCTACGTCGTTTGAGGTTTTTGTTGTTGTTTCTTGATGTTGGCATTTACTACTATGAACTATTTTGATATTTTCATTTGTTTCAAGGTTTATTTATTTATCTTTTGATTTATTGCAATGATATTCTGCAGTTGATAGTATAGGATATTGTGCAGTCATGGTATCCAGGCTTATATTTGTACCTAGGTTCTATCATAGTGCGTCATTTGTGACAGAACATACTCATTCTATCTTTTTTATTTTTCTTCAAAAATTTAGAGACAGCATTTTCGCTGTTTCATCCTAGACATGTTTTCACAATGTTTTTCTTTAATAAGAGGTTCCTTGAATCAAAATAAATGAGTGAAGAATACAAAGTAAGCTTGTTTATGAAATTAATTATAAACTTTCTGGCAATTAAAGTCTGGTTTTAGGAAGTCTACAGGTATATCATAACAATGTTCTGTGATCTTTCTTATAAGTTGCTTCAAAACCTTGTTAAAGTAGATAAGTTGTAGGTAAACTTTATGTGATTGAAAGTAATTTCGTATCAGATCTTCAGATAATTCAAGTATGACAATTATGCAAGATCTGTGTTTCAACATATCATTTGTAGAATAAGGTTGCAACAGTTTTTGTTTTTTTCTAAACTCTAGCCTCTTAACTTTCCAGACCATTTCTTCTATTAAAAGTTGAGTTTGTAAGCCATTATCTATAACTGTTAATAGTTGGAGCACCTCCTTTAGTCACATTTGCCTACTTTATTAAACAGAGGAAAGTGAGGAGACCTTAAAAAACACCAAAGAAATTCAAAAAAAAGCAGAAGAAAAGTATGACGTATTAGAGAATAAAATGAAAAATGCAGAAGCTGAAAGAGAAAAAGAACTGAAGGATGCTCAGAAAAAACTTGATTGTGCCAAAACAAAAGCAGATGCTTCCAGCAAGAAAATGAAAGAAAAACAACAGGTAGGTAATAACTTTTCTTGAAATGCAGCCAATCTTTTAACATCAACATAGAGCTGAAGTTGGTAGAGCACCGTCGGTTGGCCTTACTTATCAGTATTCATCACAAAATCTAAAAATAAGATTTGCTTTTTTAGGTAGTAAATTATACATCTTTTAAGGCAATTTAAAATATGGGGGTTGGTTTTTTTTTGTTTTGTTTTTCCCAAAAACCCTGTAACTGAGTGTCGTATAATTGTGTGAGTTGCATTGGCTTGCTAATTTTAGAGAAAGAGCAAAGTTGCCTTTTAGTAAATGCTTCATTCTAGAGTGGACCAAAACTTATATTATGTGGTAGAGCTATGTCATATCAGAGATTTAGTGTTGATATTTCTTTTGGTGATTATTTATATGAATGTGTACTGTGAAAGAATGATGTAGGACAAAGGATGTTATATTTATGAAATGCCATTCGATTGTAGACTGGTGATACTTGATTATATCTTTTGGATAGTACCAAAGCTGGAAATTAAACCTAGGGTTTTTTTGTCTCCAATGTCTATGTTCCATACAATTTCACTTTTCTTCATAGTTTTTTTTTTTTTTTTAACCCCATCTTATGGTTTTGTCATTAAGTAGCTGCACAAATTATTTTCTGATGAACTAAAGGCTATATAATAGAAAAGAAGAAAATTGAAAAACTAATTTTAAAGTCTTTATCTGTACTTTATGTAGAATTCTATATTATTTTTTTCTATAGGAATAGAAGGGTAAAGGAAAGTTTCTGTGCAACGTTTTTTTACTGATAAATATTGTACAAACACTTGTCATTTTCTTAAGTATAAGAAAATAAAGAATTTTATGTTCCCTCCTTTCTGGGGAAGCAGTTTACATGTGTTTTAGGTAGTTGATTGAGTAAGCTGTGGGTCTTACTTGAATGATATTCTTACTAATTTTGTTGATATGTCATATTTATTTTTCAGTAGTTGTTAACCTGTTGAATGCCCAGATACTATGTTTCTTATAGGAGGTTGAAGCTATCACTCTGGAGCTGGAAGAGCTCAAGAGAGAGCATGCATCCTGTGAACAACAGCTTGAAGCTGTAAATGAAGCTATCAAATCCTATGAAGGTCAGATAGAAGTAATGGCCATTGAGGTGGCTAAAAATAAGGTAAGATTTACTTACCATATTGAGGATGTTAATTTACTTACGAAATGTTGGCTTGAAAATGTTTGACTTTAGAGGTCGCATTCTCTTCACTCTTTTCATGATGAGATACAAAAATAGTGACTACCGATCCAGAAAGAGTCCTGAAATAATAATACTAATTATTTTAGTCCATGTCTATTCAGATGACAAAAGCTATACAATAATTTGAACAGGACATTTAGTTAATGTCTCACCATACATACTTATAATTTTTTTTTCTTGTGATGAGAACTTTTAAGATTACTCTCTCAGCAACTTAAATATGCAATATAGGACTATTAACTAGTAGTATAGTCTGTATACTTTCATTTTGTGATATAACTTGAAAAATTGAATTTTCTGTTGAGTTTTCTGTCATGTTGCTATCAATACTGTTTTTGTAAGTAGAATGTAATTGATTTTCATGTTAACAAAATGTATATATAGCTTTAACAGGAGTTTCATACTACCTACATTGTAGTCAAGTATGTTTCTGCCTTGCTTTTGTCATCTATTTCTGAATCTTCTGTAACATTTTCTCCTTGAAACGATTGTTTTGATAAGTAGGTGTTTCCTCTTGATCTTATTCGTGGTTAAATTCAAGTTTTGGTTCTTAACACATTTATTTACCAAATCAATAGCAAAATAATTTTTAACTGTTCTTTTTTTTTTTTTAAGATAAGGGAGAGAAATGCAGAAGCTTTTGTGTTTCTAATAAATGTTCTGCAGTTTCTGATCAGTTTCTACTATGTCTCCAAAGTAAATTTTAGTTTTTAAAACATTTTTAGTTTCTTTTTAATTTGTTGTTTTAATTGTGTATCTCATTCCTGCATATTTTTTACTGTCTTTCATGAATATCATAGAATTTTTTTTAAATTATAGGGTTAGGGGGAAAAAAAATTAGATAATTGTGTTTCTAAAGAGAGGTATGAAGATAAGCCACTCCTTCCTTCATCTAAATAAAGATAAAATCAAAGCATGTACCTATTTCTATAAAGAGGGTGTTCATTTCTCTATGTGAAACTGAGAAATGGATCACTTAGTTTTTAAAAGTTGGTCTTTCAGACTATGTTCTAAATCGTTTCCCTTTGCTCGTAAGAGTTGCTAAGGATATTCCGAGGGAGCTGAGAAAATAAACTGCCTAAAACTAATTAGCTTCAAACAAATAACACTGAACTTTTGTTTCTGTTCAACCTTAAGTGACATATTTTCTGTTTTTCCCTACCACTATAAAACAGATTATGTTTTTGAAAAGATTAAAACAGTTTGTCCCCGGCCCTGGTTGGGTTGTGCGGGTGGCGGCCACTCGATGTGTCCCTTTCACGTCGATGTCTTTCTCTCTCTTCTCTCTCTTCTCTCTCTTTTCTCTCTCTCTCTCTCTCTCCCCCCCTCCCCCTCCCCCTCTATCTGAATAAAAAATGTCCTCAGGTAAGGATAAAAAAAAAATAAAAGATTAAAACAGTCACACCTGCAATGCAATATTTAAAGTCTAGGCATGAGAGAATTTTCTTTATAAACATGTTTTTGTCAGATACAACATTAGTTAATAAACCTGTCTCTGTATCAGTGATTTTCAACCCTTTTTATCTTATGGCACACATAAACTAATTACTAAAATTAGGCAGCATACTAAAAAATGGGTAAAATTTTGATTGATTCACATCAGACAGCTATTGTGTTGGCTGTTGTCATTTTTTATTTGATAATCTAAGGGAAAAGAGGTCAGTGCCTCTGACTAAATAGTCAAGTATTGCTTGTTTTAAAAATTCTTGTGGCACTGGTTGAAAATCACTGTTTGAGATGAATGCCATGATTTATCTTCCTTCTGCAGAAGCCCTCTAATGACACAAATTAAACAGTATAAGGAAATTCAAGCATGTGGGTGCATTCAATAACCTAATCATAATGTCAGGTATTCTTTACTGCTCAAAATTATCTTGTTTCCTAATGAGCATGCCTAAACAATTCTTAATTTTCATTGGTGCTTTTAATCAACGAGATTGTTCTTCCTCAGAATCTTGTAGAGAGCAGGTTGTCCTAATTCTTTGTTTTCCATCACCTGAATATAAGTTGCCCTAGGGTTTTTTGTTTGTAGGCATTTGTGTGAGTTCTTTTTAAGATCTAGGGTGAAGCCCTGGCCAGATTGGCTCAGCGGTTAGAGCATCGGCCTGCGGTCCGGAGAGACCCGGGTTCGGTTCCCGCTGAGGGCGCGTACTTAGGTTGCAGTTTGTCCCTGGCCCTGGTTGGTCATGCGGGTGGCAGCCACTCGATGTGTCCCTTCACGTCGATGTTTCTCTCTCTCTCCCCCTTCCTCTCTCTTTCTCCCACTCTATCTGTACAAAAAAAATGGAAAAATATCCTCGGGTGAGGAAAAAAAATAATAAGATCTAGGGTGAAGCATTGGGGTTTTTGTGTGTGTTGGGGGGAGCATTGGTGGTAGACTAAATTCCAGTTGTGATGACCACTTTGGAGGCTGAGTAAATTTCAGCCTTAGGAAGTAGGGAATAGAAGTCAGACCAGGGAGTTTTTCTTTGCGCCACAGATCTGTTTCTTCAAAAAAGTTTTTCTCTTCCTTTTCCTGTTTTGACCCCGTGCTAGAACCAAACACTGTGACCCTCCATTGCCACTGATAAAGTTAATGTGGTTTACATCTACAGAAGGGGAAAGGAACAAATCCCAGCCTACCTTACTTCTGTGCTTGTTCTTGGCCCCTCTCACTAAAGTGCCATTTGGGAGTCTATCAGATTATCTTATTAACAACCCAGAAATGCCACTTTTACGAGCGACCTCGAAGGTCAGATTTCAATATCCTCTCCTGCCCCCAATTAATCATAACTACATTGTATTCAGTAAAAACTTTGTTGCCTCCAGCATGGTCACTGCATCCCATCCTTTTTTTTTTTTTTCTAATGGAAATCCCAATTTTGTCCTATGTATGAAGTTTATTAGTCATTTTAATGGGCATATAATATATAGCAGCGACCATCTGCCTGTAATCACATTGCCATCTTACCCAGAAGTGTGTTAGATGATCTTTTAGTGAACTAAAAATATCTCCTATTACCTTGCTTATGTATCATCTTTGAATTATTTGTTTCAGGAGTCATTAAATAAAGCTCAAGAAGAGATGACCAAGCAAAAAGAAGTGATAACAGCCCAAGACAATGTAATTAAAGCTAAATATGCAGAAATGGTGAAGCATAAGGAACAAAACAATGACTCTCAACTTAAAATTAAGGAACTGGACCACAACATCAGCAAACATAAGCGGGAAGCTGAAGACGCTGCTGCAAAGGCATGCTTGTGTTCATTTTGACCCTTAATCAAATGTTTGCTTCTGGGTTACTGAAATATTCCAGTAAAAACTGCTAGATGAAGAACTAAGTATAAATGTAACATAATTTTGAAGCTTCACAGCTGTGTTAACTGCTTCTCAGCAATGCTTATTTTTACCAAATAGCACAAATGTTTTTAAATTTAATTCTAGAGATTTATGCCTATCTACAAGATGTTTTTACCACATATTTAGTGGTCTCCCATAGAAATATCTGTTTTTTCTCCCCAGTGTTCATAGAACTATTATTAATGTGTTAATAGTAATAACACATATTATTTACCTTATTTCGCTTTGGATTTAAAGACTCCCAGAAATGTATATACAGGCAACTTCTGAACTTAAATGGCTTCTGGATGTCCTTCTAAGGATCAGTATAATCAATTTTTTCACCCTCATCTGAAGCAGTTATCTTTTTGAGATTATCTCAGTTTTTTTGGTCACTCTTAAAGTTTCTTTTGTGTGTCACATTATCTTAAGTATTTTAAAGAAAATTTATGCTTTTGGAGAAATTTATTACTTGGTTAAGAGGCTGCATCACTTAGTCTTAATAATTTACCTGTTATGTTTTCTTATAGGTATATAACAGTTTAGTACCTTTTAAATCTTTTTTAGCATCATAAAAGTACAACAGATTTAATTTCAAAAAGATCACAGCATACAAAACAGTCTCTCCACCCCCTGAAAGAGCCATGTTTAGGTTCATTTTTTATGGCCACATCATAATATCCTAATATTTTATTAGTATTGATTTCCCACTAGTCTATTTGGTAATCGAAAATGCTAGTATTGGTGATTGCTAGGGGATTTTATTTACAGTTAAGGGGGTAAAGGGAAGGGAACTGCTAAAAAGATAAGGATTCTTTGAAATACATGGTTCATCAAATATTTATTACATACCAACTAGTATGACACAGTGCCAGCACTAAAGATAAAAGGATCAGCAACGTACACTGAATGCCTTCACCGAGTTTACGTATAAGTGGGGAAGACAGACTAGAAATGATTGTCTCACTTTGGAGCCTAGAGGTGAGACCATGCCTAGGGAATTAATAAGGATAAGGAAATTGACAAGTATTAGATTCTTTCAGGCAAAACCAACCTTAATTTGAGTAGAAGAAAGTCTTCCTTAAGCCCTATAAATTTTAATTAGTTATATGAAGGAGTATTTTACAGGGACAGGGATGGAATCAACGTTTAGGACAGTACTTAGAATATAAATATAATTCTGAGAAAAATCATTAGATATCAGTCAGGAATCATCTTCCATGATTTTACCAAATCTATGACTTGAGTATTCCTGTAAGAATTTTAACTTTCACAGGAATTTTTTTTTGAAGCGATTGAATTGGGTAAAATGTAAAGAAGCCTCATCTGACTCATATTTCATTCAAATGGAAATGTTTTATATATATATATATATATATATAGTAAAAGTTTCTCTGCATTGGCTTTTCTTATAATGCCTAAGTGATAGGAAGATATATATTTTTTTAATAATCTCTTATTTCTTGAGCTATCTTCCAAGTAAAAATATACTTACTGTAGGTTCACTGTCAACAATGAACCTCATTTTTTCAAGTGCATCATTGTGGGGTTTTTCTCAAGTGTTTGATTTTAAATTAGTAAATATTTAAGAAATTTGTTTTCAAATGTAGATTTATAAGCAATGATAAATTCTTCTTTTATATGTGGCTAGGTATCCAAAATGTTGAAAGATTATGACTGGATTAATGCGGAGAAACACCTCTTTGGGCTACCCAATAGTGCCTATGATTTCAAGACTAACAACCCAAAAGAAGCTGGTCAGAGACTTCAGAAGTTGCAAGAAATGAAGGAAAAACTAGGAAGAAATGTCAACATGCGAGCTATGAATGTACTGACAGAAGCGGAAGAGCGGGTAGGTGACTTCCCTCTGACTGGCCATGTTAGCACATGGGTAGCATTAATGGCTCTGACCTTTGAGACAGTTATTAGCGTCAGCCTTTTGTTTGATGTCCTTGGTACTTGCTTTCTTTCTCTTTTCCTTTTCTCCCTTTTCAGTTATTTGTTTTTTTATTTCATTCTTTTTGCATTGCATTTGTTTATATGTCCTATTGTACCTAGAATGACTTTTCTGCTGGCTTTGCCCTTTGTCACGAATATGTACTACTCTTGTCTTATTCTTGGTATATATGAAAATACTTTCAGATCATGTTAACACTTCACATTGCTATCATTTGTTTCACTTTCCTTGAAAGGCTATGAAAAATAAGGTCTACTGCCTCCTCACCAGTCACTCCACAACTGCCATCTTCCTTTTCACTCCAGTGTGTACTGGGAACATATGTAAAATTGTTATATACATAACCACTCTTTTACTAATCTATAAATCCAGCAGCATCTTCTATTTTAATGCTCTGTAATGTTATCCAGCTCCCCTACTCAGACAAAACGTTTATAGTCCGCCATGTCACTGGAAAAATCCTGAAGGGAAAGCAATCCCTGTTCTTGACAGCCTCATAGGAACTAGCAATCTGAGTAATTTTATGTTATGCCTAGTACCTTCTTTAATTCTGCAAAATTCTATATGAATTTGCATAATAGAGTTAATGAGAGCTCTGTAAAAGTGATGATACTTATGAGCTCAGTTACTCTTAAGAAATTTTGCTATGATGTTTTGTTTTGTTTTTTTAAACTATGAAACTGTTATTGATGTACAAAGAATCTATACAATGTTAGATATCAAACAGACTAATAATGTACATGTTGTGGTCTCTATAAAATGTTCCTGCTGGCTTTCATTTCTCCATTAGAGCTTGGCAATTTACTATACAGCATATTTGTGGGAGTAAATCTTTGGCCCGGATTTGTGCTGCAGAATGTCATCAAATTAGTTCACTTTTACTTGTTTGCTTTTATTAGATAATGAACTGGGTCTAATATGTTTTAAAAAGAATTCACCAAATTCACCTCTTTAACCAGAGCTCTATTATTGATAAATAGATGGCCTTTGTTTTTTTTGTTGTGTTTGTCCACATAAGAAACTACTACATGGCATTATGCAACAAATAAGATAAACACACGGAGAGGAGGCTTCCGGAGCTTGGCCGTCAGGACGAGGGTCAGCTGGGACGCTAGCAGGACTGCCTGGCGTTTTTAAGGGAGAATGAGGCCTTGATGTGGAGCTCTGAGGAAAACTGAAGGAAGTTCTGCTGTTCATGCATAATTATCCCTTTGCGGCCTCCCTCAAATGTTGTTTTTCCCACAAAATTTCTACATTAACCAGGAAAGGTCACTCTGAAGATGTGATGTTTGAGCTGAAACTTGAGACACCAGCTAGGTCAGATATAGAGGAAGAATGCCCAGGAAGAGAGATGAGGCTACAGTGAGTTTATGTGTTCAAGGACCTGAAAAAAACGACCATATTGCTGCAGTCTGGGGAAGAGAGTGATGCCAAAGAGAGAAATTAGGCAGATTATGCAGTATATGTACATCATGGTGAAAAAGTGATATTTTTTTTTTTGCTTAGATGAAGTAGGAGGGAGAGAGAGAGAGAAGCATCGACGTGAAAGGGACACATCAAGTGGCTGCCACCCACACAACCCAACCAGGGCCGGGGACAAACTGCAACCATGGTACATGCCCTCTGCAGAAACCAAACCCGGGTCTCTGGACCGCAGGCCGACATTCTAACCACTGCGCCAAACCAGCCAGAGCAAGAAGTGAATTTTTGTGTCACTGCTAAGACTAACCTTAAGAAGAAAACATGCATAGCTACTTTTGAATTTACATATGACACATTTTTCTTTGTGCTTTGGCTGCTTGGAAGATAAGGGAATATTAGAGTCAAAATATTTTGGGTTCTTGTCCTATAAATTCTCAATTACAATAATTGAATTTTACATATTTTTCTCAAAATTGGTTTATATTATAGCTATTAATACAGTATCTTTTTGATAAATAAGAGTGTACATAATGTATATAAAATAACGAAGGCTCTTTATTCCTGATTGAATTCTAGAATGTGAAAACAATTTTATATTTTTCCAATTAAGTATGCTTTTTATCTTGCTAGTACAATGATTTGATGAAGAAGAAGAGAATTGTAGAAAATGACAAATCCAAAATACTTGCAACTATAGAAGACCTTGACCAGAAGAAAAACCAAGCCCTAAATATCGCTTGGCAAAAGGTATTTGAACCAAAAATAGTATCATTTATTCTATGTGAGGCAAAGATGAAGAACATTGGCAATTGGTTATACTCTAAGATGCATTGAAAATGGCTGGTTTGTGTTTGAAGGAGGCATTTGCTCATCCTTAGTTAAAGCCGCATAGACCTCAGGCATTTTGTCCTTTTGGACTTGACTACTACTGATTTGCAATGGTAAGTTTGTGTCAGCAAAGGTAAGTTTGTGTCACTGCATCATACTCTCAGTCTACTTCTCTGGTTCTCAAATTCTAATTTTTTAAATTTCTCCATTTTTATTCTTACCCTGTTTGCCAGATCTATATTACCTTTAAAGGGGACACTGTCCTCTGTCTTTCCCATGAGATTATAGGCTCTTATATTTGGAGGGGGGGGGGGGCACTCAGATACTGTCCACTCACCCTCTCCTTGAAACTGGAAGCAGATTCACATTGGGGAATCTCTGATTGTTGGTAAAGCTCTCCCAATAACTCCTTTAATTCTAATCTCATGGTTTCTCTTGCCCAGACTCACAGAGGTCAAATATTAGTTCTAAGAATGTTTCTAGCCCTGGCTGGTTTGACTCAGCAATTAGAGCATCAGCCCGAGGACCAAAGAGTCACGGGTTCGATTCCGGTCAAGGGCACATACTTCCTTTGTGGTTCGGTCTCCAGCCCTGGTCAGGGTCATGCAGGTGGCAACCAATTGATGTGTCTCTCTCATGTTTCTCTCTCATTCCCATTCTATCTGAAGATAAATGGAAAAATATCCTCAGGTGAGGATTTAAAGAAAAAAGAATGTACCAAGATTGGCATATTCCTTACCAGTTACAGATTAATTGTATTTCAGAATTCATAAATATTATGTATTCTGTAGGTTTTTAAAGCATTTTTGTACACACTAGATTAATAAGTATATTAGTTAACACATTATGAAACAGTTAACTTTTTAATTTAAATGCATTATCTTAAAACAATTTCAGTTGTTTTGGCAGTTATTATCCTATTTAATACATGAAGAGACTAAAGCTTACATAATGAAATAGCCTAAGATCATATAGCTAAAAGGTAGAAAACTGGGATTTCTGTTTTTCTATAAAAGTTAAAACTGCCTTTTATTGCAAACTGCTGTCAACCTTGTTGTTAAGAATTGGATAGTAAACAATTAAGTTTGGTATGCTTTTTTCCTGGACTCTTAATTTAAAAAAAAGCCAATTACCATTTTGGTTTTGTTTTACGACAACTTTGGAAGATTTCATATTTCTTTATTTACCATTTATTTCTACTTTCTTGGCTGTATACATTTGTCTCCTTTAGAAGAATTCTTTAACCTCTTGGAAATTTTTCTGTATCTACTATATATAGCAAAACACTTCCTCATTAAATTCTGAACATAGTTACTGTGCTGTTTGGTACTTTAACAATCCTGTGCCTCTGGAATTTAACTGGATACCTTGCTTCTTTTTCTCTCAATGCTATAGGAACTTTATTTTTAGTTATGGCAGCACAAAACACCCTTTCAATCACCTTGTTTTTCCTGCTCTACAACTTATTTTCAGTCTTATCCATGTCATATTTTCTGTCTTTTTTAAAATACATGCAAAAGGTTAGCCCCATTATTCTTGTACATCATGTGGATTTAACACTGGATCTAAGAGGTTTTGTCCCTTGTCCACACCACTCTACCCTGTCCCCGCTGTGGTTTCTGTATTTGGTGCTAGTATGAATTTGTCCTTTAAACTGATTTCCCCCCAATTTCCAAGGTTTTCACAAAGCAAGTAAATTTAGCGAATGCGTATGTAGCGCATTATTCTCAGATTAATTTTTTTTATTTAATCCTCACAGTAACCCAATGAGGTGGATATTTTGTGATCAGCGTCTTATATTTCCTTCTGGCTTTAAGCATACCTGTAACAAAGCCAGAGTTAGGCACTGGTTGTGTTTGTTTTCTTAGCCTCATTGGATTTTCAAAATTTGATTGCATTGTATCTATATCTACCCATGAATACAATTTATTTTCTATCTAGCACAAGGCTATATTCTCTGCCCATTAACTGATAAGTTAGTTTCTCTTTTCTCCTTTGGAAGAATTTATATATGGAGTCCATGTCCATGTTCAGGGTTTAGTGGCATTCCATTGTCTTAGTTCTGAACTGCCTGTCTCTTGCCTGGTCAAAATAATCTAGGGTGTTTATAAATACCATGCTGTCCTCTAGTTCCCCCGAAAGAGACAGTGGGTGTCTCCCTATTGAGATGAATCTTGCCTACCTCTGAAAATCTCTCAGATAAAACTAGAACCTGTGTCCTCTGTAGAATATTACTCAGCATGTGTACAGTTGCCTTTAAAATATGCATTCCTTAGTAAATATATATTCAGGAACACTGCTTGTATCTAGGAGATTCCTTATTACTAGAAATACTCATAAAAACATACGTTTGCCTTTATTTGAATTTGGAAATTTTTCTAGAAAACATGGCTGTCAAGTCCATGATGTGTGTGTGTATGTACACTTTCAAATTTGTCTGCTGAACTCCCTAAGGTTATTAGTCATGTCTTTGAGAACAGATGGCCAAATTCTCAAGTCATTAAATGTGTATGCACAAAAATTACCCAGTTACAAGCTACACTGTTGGCACTAAATCTCTGTAATCTCCGACTGTGGCTTGATGAAGTTAGGCCAAACAGCTTCTTTAGCCTTTTTCTCTTGGTGGTCTAATCCTGTTTCTGTCCCTTGACACCTCAGCTTCTTTGGCTATGAGAAGCAGCATAAAAAGAACAATTCAAGGCCCGGCCGGTGTGGCTCCGTGGTTGAGCGTCAACCCATGCACCAAGAGGTCACCAGTTCGATTCCTGGTCAGGGCACATGCCCAGGTTGTGGGCCAAATCCCCAGTGAGGGGCATGCAGGAAGCTGCCAGTTGATGTTCTCTTTCATCAATGTTTCTCTCTCTCTCTCTCTCTCTCTCTCTCTCTTAAATCAATAAAGAAAAAGAGAACCATTCAACACCTTGAACAGACCTGGTTGTTTGATCTCATGTTTTTTTCCTAGAACCACCCTGATTATCCTCACTTTTTCAGTTTAGATAAACGCAGGCTCATCTTACCATACCAGTCAACGGAAAACAAGTTTTATAAGAACATTTTGTGGCTAAAAGAGTTTTTGTTGTGTTTTTGCTTCTCTAACCACAAGTTTGATCTCCTCTGTTGTACAGTTGTGTGTCTCAGGATTCCTGCATGGTGGCCTACAGAACATCAGGGTAGAGTTGAGGTATAGTCCCTAGTTCCCTCTGGAGTGTAGAGCAGGGCTCAGTAAACTATTTCTGTAAAGGGACATAATATATGTATGTTTTTTATTTTGTGAGCCAAATAGTCTCTGCTGGAAATATTAGACTCTATTGTTTTTGTGCTTACAGCCATAGGAAATATATAAATGAATGAGTATTGCCAGATTTGTCACATGGATCATAATTTGCCAACCCCGGAGTTAGAGTAACAAACAAAAAAATGCACTGCTGGGTTGCTCATACACATGTCAACATTTGCTATTTTAGGATATCTATGGAATTTTAATATCTTTTTTTTTTTTACCCAGGTAAACAAGGACTTTGGGTCTATTTTTTCCACTCTTTTGCCTGGTGCTAATGCTATGCTTGCACCACCAGAGGGGCAAACTGTATTGGATGGTCTGGAGTTCAAGGTTGCCTTAGGAAATACTTGGAAAGAAAATCTAACTGAACTTAGTGGTGGTCAGAGGTGAGTAATTCCTTAGCTTTGTTAGAATTCCTAATTCCTCTTATCTTATTCTAATCCATCATCTCATTGCCTACCAATTTTATTTCAGTTTTGCATTGCTTAGCTCTCTTTGCATATAGAATTTAAGGAATCTAATATGTAAGACTAAACATTTTAGTTGGAACATATGGTTAAAATAGTAGGCAACAAAGGAAATAACAAGGATAATCAACTAGAAAACTAGAGAAAAGTACATGAAAAACAATTATTTTCAGACATCGGAAAATGAGTAGCCCAGGAGTATATACCTGAGAGAAAGGAAACAAAAGTGCTACGAGCCCCTTGTTTACCCAGTTTTCCTCCTGGGAGCAGTTTCTAGAATGCAGATGCAGGGAGGGAAACCCACACAAAGCCCAATAGTCTTACTAAATTTGGGAAACAAAGATTAGAATTTTGGGAGGCTCCAATGAGCTACACCCTAACATTAGGTCTGTATTATTCCCTGAAGTGAAGGCTATTGTAAATGCATCTTAGCAAAGTTAATTGCAGGCCTTGCAGAATAAAGCTGATCTGCATGTAATTTAATTAGAACAAAGTCCAACACTCTAAAGAAACAAAAAAACTGACTGAACAACATAACTGTCCAGCATCTAACAATTACTAGACAGAAGTCAAGAAAATGTGACTCATACCCTAGAGAAAAATCAGTCAGTGGTAACAGACCTAGCCTACAAATGACAGGTAATAAAACTAGTAGATAAGGAAGGTAAATAGTTAAATTAACTATTTCCAAGAATTACAAACAAGAGGTGAAGAGGGAAATGAAAACTATAAGAAATTTGATCCCAGTAGAACTATACAGGTTAAGGACATTCTCAGGTGAAAGGAAAATGGTACCATATAGAAAGTGAAACCTACATAACAGAAATAGCAAGTTCTTGGGATTTGGGAAAATTTCTCCTGGCCTTACTCAGTGATTTAGACTATCAGCATACCAAGAGAAACTCACAAGGTCATATGGCCTGAATCCTTTCCTGCAGAGAACCAAACAATTAAAACCTAAAAGAAAGTTGTGAATGTTTACATAGTTGAAGATTGTTACTAATTTTTCCCCTACAGGATGTATAATCCATAGTCCTTGAATTGTCCTCACATGCTCCATAATGCCATCATGTTACTATTATCTTATGTACAAAGAAAATACTAAGACCTGTTAATTTCCTTTATGAAATCCTTTGTCATTTTTTATAAGTAGACTGGCAATCCACTCTGTATTTTTCATTATTGATAAAATTCATAAATATTTTTGAGTTTCTGCTGCCTGTCAACCAAAATTGAATTCCACAGTTTATATCTCAGTATTAATAGTTCTTGCCAAAGTCCTAGAAAACATATGTTTATTTTGTTATTTTGTTAAGTGAAAGGCATTTAATACTAAAGATTATTTCCATAATTAAGATGATACAAAATTACTTATAGTTATATCACTATCTATCAAAGTAGTTTAATTCCTGGTGAGTCCCCCCCCCCCCCCCCCCGAATGAAGACATTTAAAACTTACTGCCTTAAACATTTGGCACAGAGAAAGCAAATGAAAAATAAATTTAGATTGCTTGAATGACCTCAGCTATCTCCTGTAGAGGCATATTTCAATCTCACTGTTAGTTGTTTTTTATTGTACCATTTAATTCATTTTCTTTGCTAGACATTTGAATTTTACTTCCCTGTACCCCCTCTACTTGTGCACACACATTTTCTTTTTTCCCCACTTACATATTTCTTAATAAATACCCTCCTGGAATGCAGTAAGCATCAGGTTGACAGTTCATTCTAGTGCTGTGTACAGGAGCTAGTTGAAGTTATAGAGTATGCGTTACAAGTGCTCTTGTGATAATTTATTCTTATGTTGACTAATTATAAATATTTTGTACTAAAATAAACAAGACTTTCTTATAAAATATGTTTAAGAAAAAAAAAGTTACAAAAATTTTTATGATTCTTTCTATCAGATTAGAATAAAAGCCACTACCAGTTAAAGGGGATGGTTAGCTAGAAGAGAACTTTCAAAGAGCTGTAGAATCTAAGTGGGCATAACAATAAATTTTAAATGAGGTATATTAGGGTTCTCCAGAGAAAAATAACCAATGGGAGATTTTATATATATCTGTATAGATATATAGATACATATATTTAAAGATATTTATTACAAGGAATTGGCTCATTTTGTTGTGTAGGCTGAGAAGTCCCACAGTTTGCTGTCTGCAAACTAGAGACCCAGGAAATCCAGTGGTATCGTTCAGTCTGAATGTGAAGACCTGAGACCCAGGAGCACCAAGAACAGAATATTCATGTCCCAACTCAAGTAATCAGGCAGGAAGGGAAGAATTCTGTCCTCTACCTTTTTACTGTTCAGGCCCTCAGCAGACTCAATGCTATTCACCCACATCGAGGTGGAAAAACTGATTTACTAAATTCCAAGAAACACCCTCACAGACACATCCAGAAATAATATTTAGCCAGACATCTGGCCACCCTATGATTCAATCGAGTTGACAGAATTAACTAATTAACTATCACATAAGGATTTCTTAGCAACTTGGCACTATGAAGTATTTAGAGTAATGGGCCATAATCTATTCAACTTAGCCAAATGGTGCCAGTAAAAACATGGATAGAGTTTGTGTGTGCACGTGGATGCATCCATAGTAAGAGTTTGAAAGAAGGCCCCTAAACCAGATACACTATTACCAAGACAGTAACTGTTGGCTTAACACGTGTATAGCCCTTACTCGGCTGTCACCTAGGCATCTACTGCAACTGTGGATGGAAAGAAACTATTGACACCACTGTGTTCTCTTAAGGATAGGTACCAAATATAATATTCTGATTCATTATTTGGAAAGAAGAATATAAATCTGTTCTATTCAAAATAAAACTCATTGAAAAGAGGAAAAGTGAAAGACATTTTAATACAAGTATTGAAGTTTGAAACTTAGGACTGTCTCTTAGCTAAATCTGTACTTTTCTTAATGATAACAGCATAGCAAATTTGCTTCAGTGCTTTGGTAAAAAGTGGTAAAATCAAGTTTTGACAGCTTCCTGCCAACCTTCTTTTTTTTAGGTCTTTAGTGGCTTTGTCATTAATATTGTCCATGCTCCTCTTCAAACCTGCTCCAATTTACATCCTGGATGAGGTTGATGCAGCCTTGGATCTTTCTCACACCCAGAATATTGGACAGATGCTACGTACTCATTTCACACATTCTCAGGTAAGAGCCAGAAAGAATGTGTCTTTATTAAAAAAATAAGTATAAAAATGTTTCAGTAATAGTTTTGTTTTTCTAAAACTGCTCTTTAGGTGGTTCTCATTATTAATAAGATATTTAAGATTGAGGAATATTAAAGCACTGTGTATTTCTTTTAAATATTTATTAATACTCAAATAGGTTTAGAATGAAAGTGGGTTTGGTCTCCTATTAAAGAAAAAAACAGGCATTACAATTGTAGCATGAAGGAGAATCTAATATTTTCATAATTTGGCATTAATTTGTGGTGAAATGTGATTATTTTTCTAGCTAGTTGCCAGAGATGCAGTCAAAACAAGCATGTTTCAGGGATATACCTATGTATCCACATCATGTGGTACTTGGTGGGGTGCTCTTCATTTCTCCTGGCCAGAAAGTAGAGAATGCCCCTTTAAGCTAAGAGTAGTTTGTTTTTTTGAACTGAGGCTGTTAAATATAGTTTATAGATCATGGAGGTTTCACTTATCATAGTTCGCAGACTATGTATTTATTATGGCAGTTTTTTAGCAGGCAACAGTAAACTAGTACCTGTTCTTAATTATACAAATATAAATGTTCTGTTTGAGCAAGTGGTAATGCCGTGGGAACTTGAAGCCTTGATATTATTAAAATATCACAGAGAAAAATATTTCACTGGGCATTTAGACCTAGCAACAAAATAGTTGCCAGCTACAGAAGATTAACAAGCTGTTAACCAGCAGGAAAGAGTAAACTTGGGTAATGAAGCAATAAAGGTAAAATTAAGAGACTCCTAAAACTGAATATGGAAAGCTAGAATTAATTTAGGTGTCTAATATTATAACTAGTTGTTACCTACCTTTGCTCAGAACCAGGCATTTAAGGAAATAGCAAAATCAAAATACCTCCAAACAATCCTTTAACCTCGCTGTTGTAAAAAGTGAACTTCTTCAAGGATACTATAAAAAGGGTTTTTTATGCTTTTTTTCTACTTCCCTTAAGTTCATTGTGGTGTCCCTAAAGGAAGGTATGTTCAACAATGCAAACGTCCTCTTCAAAACCAAGTTTGTGGATGGTGTTTCTACAGTAGCCAGATTTACTCAATGTCAGAATGGAAAAGTTCCAAAGGAAACCAAGTCCAAAGCAAAAGGACCTAAATGAACACATTTGGAAGTTAGAAGTATGAATTTACGCCTTCACCTGATTTTTAAACATAAACTTTTTAAGAACTTGGGATTTATCTAATTTGTTTATATAAAGATTTAATGTTATTTTTGTAACTTAATTCATATTTTCTCTTCCCTTATATAATCACTTACAAATGAGCATGATTCTGCTTTTCTTGATTAGTGTAACTATAGCCCAATTACTGTGATTGTGATTTTATGCATGTCCTCAATTATTTTTCTTACACAAGTCATATATTAGGCAGCCTGAGATACCTGTTGGGTGGGAAATTCTGTTTGTAAAAGAAAACTACAAAGAGAAACAGGTGAAATTAGATTATAAGATAAATATAGCTGATAATCAGCTTTTAGTTTAATTCCTAAGATGATATGTGTTTTCTATTGCTAATGAAGTCATTTAGGTAAGGAAGAATTAAAAAGCAAATAGCTGGACCAACAAAGGGAGCACAGAGGAAGGTATTAGGCAGGTTCTTGAGCTATTTGTGGTTAGTTCCTTGAGAACACAATACTAGATCCCTGATTTAGACTCCAATGACTGAAATCTTTCAAGATCTGTGTAACATTTTATGATGTTTGGATATCATGTTTCTGTTTACTCAGTAATTGATCTGTGCATTCATACTTTTTTTAAAAAACAATCTTTATAAATATTTCAGTAGAAGCTTAGGAAAAAGATGTGCTGCATGCTGCTCTATGGGGCAAATTTCAGAGCTTTTTGTCAGCCTTTCCCAATCCAGTCAGTAACAATCTATTAGATCCATCTGATCTACCAAAAGAATTCCAAATTTGAAGATTGTTGTGTTTCTTAGTGTCTTCTACTTTCCAGTTCAAAAGAATGGTGTTTCTCCAAAAACACAAAAGATTGTGTTAACCGTAGAATAAAATAGTTTTTAGTGTCTATAGGTATATCACCTGTGTCTCCAAACTCTGAATCTTGAAGCTCTGACATGGTCTGATCTTTGATATGTTATTTTGATCCCACATCCCTTCTTCATGCTCAGTTGTAGTTCCTTTGTGTTATCCTTTCCTTGGCCCTGGATTTAACATTTCTCATTCTTCATCCTCATGCATATGTGAGGATGTCAGATTATGCCCAGGTAAATGATATTATGGGACACATTGGAATTAGTTCTGACTATTGTGGGAGACTAGGGAGACAAAGCTGTAAGTGCTGAGTTATAGGAAGCCCAATATCACAGAACAAACATAAGAAGATTTTTATTTTCTTTCAATGTATAGCAACTTGTTTGCCCAAAACAGTTTACACTGTCACCAGTATAGTATACCTGTTGACCACAACCTAGTCAGCACGGCTATTAATTTTATTTCTTGTGATTTACTAGTTATAAAATGGTACTTGGTTGCTGTTTTAACTAGCATTGTATAAATAAACCTGTGGGGTTGAATATTTTGCCATATGCACTAATTTTCTTTCCTCTGCTACAAATTTTCTACTTGTTTGCTTTCCTAATTTTTGTCTTATATATAATTTGCTCTTTGATCAAAATCCTTGAACATTAAATTTTTGTGAATAATGTTGTTATTCTTTGATTAGAGGGAACACATTAAGTGGGATGGGGACACAATTTCACACATCCACAATAATATAAGTAACTGACATTTATTGGGCTCTTTTTATACATCAGACACTATTCTCACATGCACATATTTTCACATTTAATCCATTACTAACCAGTGAGGTAAGTACTATTGTTTTCAGCATTATATAATTGAGGAAATTAAATTGAGCAGAGAAGTTAAGACACTTGCCCATAGTGATAGTACAGTTTAGTGGCAGAGCAAGATACACATTTTGGCAGTTGGTCTCCAGAACCCATGATATACTACCTCTAAGATAGCTTGAAATTTGTATGTATTGTACATAATACATTTAAGAGATACTTAGATGAGCAGTATGTACAACATGTGAAAATTTTCTGTAGGAAGAACCTCATACATTTGAAGACAGAGTTCCTTGTGGGTTTTGCTTTATGTTTTTTGTTTTCTTTTAGCATGTACACTAACAACAAATGCAAAAGCACAGGCTTGTGAATCCCTCTTCCAATATGGTGGAGTCATCTACCAGGCGCGCGTCCCCACAATCATGTCATCTTCAATCAGGGCAGTTCTGTTTCTTTTCTATAGAAGTGCCTTTTATTTTATTTTCTTACCTTGTATATGTAATGAGAACTGGCATATTTGCCTTTTTCCCCAAAATTAAGAGCGTTCAGTCTGTCACCACTAAGCACAGCGTTAGCTATAGGCTTTTGGTAGATGTTCTTTATCAAGTTACAGAAGTTCCTCCCTTCTTTCCTGGTTTGATCAAGGATGAATATGGAATTTTGTTAAATGCTTTTTCTACATTAATTAATGTGATCATGTAACTTCTTTAGCCTGTTAGTGTTATGATTTACATTGCTTAATTGTTTAATATTAAGCCAGCATTGTGTCCCTGGTTTCACTCCCACTTGCTCGTGGTGTATAAACTCTTTTTATGTATTGCTGGATTCAGTGTGTTAATTGGTCATTTGCTCATGATTTTTATGTGTTTTCATGAGGGAACTTGGTCTGTAGGTTTTTTTTGTTTTTTCCTCCTACAGCCTTTATTTGGTTTCAGGGTAATACTAGCTTTATAAAATGAATTGGGAAAATTATTACTATTATTATTATTTTGGAGTGCATTTCTTAACTTCCAGTTATAATGGGGATTTTCCAGGTACCTTTTTCTTAACTGATTTTAGCTTAATTTTGTTATGATCAGGGATCATACTTTGTATCATTTTATTTTTTAAAAAACTTGCTAGAAAGAAAATGACAGATTTAAATGCTTCTCTTAGAAAACAAAGATGTACAAATTCAATTATCTATGGTTCTACCTTAACCTATATTCTAGATAAATAAGAACAAAGTAAACCTAAGTTAAATAGATGGTAATAAAATAAAGGGTAGAAATCAATAATTTGTGAGACAGAAAATCAGTGAAACCAAGATCTAGTTCTCAACACAGCAGTAAAATTGTAATATTTCTAATTAGCCCAATCAAGTAAACCAGAGAAATTATAAATTACTAGTATCAGGAACGAAAGAAAAGAGTTGCCACTATGGATCCTTACCTAAATTAAAAGGACACAAAAGCATGACTGTTTTGTATGTGAATAAATTCAACAACTTAGACAAAATGGAAAAACTATTAGAAAAATAAAGCTCACCAAAACTGATACAAGAATATACAAAACCTGAATAGCCTCAAATTGTTAATGCAGTTGAAATGATTAAATATATTCCCACAAAGAAAACTCCAATTTCACTTGTAACCGCTGGCCAGTTTGGCTCAGCGGTTAGAGCGTTCTGTGGTCCAGAGAGACCCGGGTTCAGTTCCCACTAAGGGCACATACCTCTGTTGCAGTTTGTCCCCGACCCTGATTGGGTCGTGCGGGTGGCAACCACTCAATGTGTCCCTTTCACGTTGATGTTCCTCTTCCCCTCCCACTCTATCTGAACAAAATACAGAAAAATGTCCTCGGGTGAGGATTAATAAAAAAAAAAAAGGAAGACAGCATCAGGGTTACACAAAGTCTTTTAGGAAATAGATAGGGAGGGAATATTTCCAGCCCGTCTTATGAGGCCAGTGTCGTTCTAATACTAAAACTTGACAAAGACATTACAAAACTAAATTACAGGACTGTAATCCTCAGACAGAATCCTGAAAATATTAGCAAATCGACTATAATGTCTATGACATAAGCCATTTTCAACAGATAGTACTGACAGCTAGATATTTATACAGAAATCAAACGTTGACCCTTCACACACCTGTAAGTACAGACATTATTACAACACCGCTGCCAGGACTGCTCATGGTTTTCACTGACATGCATCTGAATTTCTTCGTTTTGTTTTTATCTGATCTTTATTGTTGAATGTTCCTCCTTTCATTACAGATGTTCCTCCTTTTTCCCCAATTGACCCCCTTCTCCCCACTCCCACCCCCCTCCTGCCTTTCCCCACCTGTTGTCTGTGTCCATTGGTTATGCACATATGCATATAAGTTCTTTGGTTTATTTCTTCTCACCGCCCCCCCCCAAACCTCCTTCCCTTTGAGGTTTGTCAGTCTAACAACCAATTTATTTTTCTTAATCCCTTTTTTCACCCACTCCCCCAATCCCCCTCCTTTCTGGCAACCAACAAAATGTTCTCTAAATGAGAATGTTTCTGTTCTGCTTGTTCATTTTGTTTGCAGATTCAATTATTGATAGATGTGTATTTATTGCCATTTTGTTTGTTTATATTTTTTATCTTTTTTTTTTTTCAAGAAGACCCTTCAACATTTCATATAATAATGGTTTGGTGGTGAAGAACTCCTTTAGCTTTTTCTTGTCTGGGAAACTCTTGATAGGTCCATCGATTCTAAATGATAGTTTTGCAGGATAAAGTATCTTGGTTGTAGGTTCTTGCTTTTCGTCACTCTGAATATTTCTTGCCACTCCCTTCTGGCCTGCAAAGTTTCTTTTGAGAAATCAGTTTACAGTCTTATGGAAACTGCCTTGTAGGTAACAAACATCTTTTCTCTTGCTGCTTTTAAGATTCTCTCTTTGTATTTAACCTTTAGCATTTTGATAACAAAGTATCTTGGTGTAGGCCTCTTGGGGTTCATCTTGTTTGGGATTCTGTGCCTCCTGGACTTGTATGCCTGTTTCCTTCACCAAGTTAGGGAAGTTTTTTGTCATCATTGTTTCAAATAGGTTTTCAATGTCTTGCTCACTCTCTCCTTCTGGCACCCCCATGATGCGAATGTTGGTACACTTGAAGTTGTCCCAGAGGCTCCTTACACTATCCTAATTTCTTTGGATTCTTTTTTCTTTTTGCTATTCTGATTGGGTGTTTTTTGCTTCCTTATCTTCCAAATTGATGGTTTGCTTCTTGGCTTTACTTACTCTACTATTGAATCTCTGTAAATTATTCTTTATTTCAGTTAGTGCCTCCTTCATTTCTGACTCGTCCTTTTTTATGCTCTTGAGGCCCTCACCAAGTTAATTGAAATTCTCACTAAGTTAATTGAGCATCCTTATAAGCAGTGCTTTAAACTCTGCCTCTGTTAGGTTGCTTTTCTCCATTTCATTTAGTTTTTTTCCTGGAGTTTTGTTATTTATTTATTTATTTTTTTCATTTGGGACATGTTTCTTTGTCTCCTCATTTTGGCTGCCTCCCTGTGTTTGTTTGCATGTATTAGGTAGTGTTGCTATGTCTCTTGGGCTTCCTAGGGTAGCCTATGTAGTAGGTGTCGTATAGGGTCCAGTGGCACAACCTCCCTGATTGTGCCAGCTGGGCCCTTGAGTTGCAACCCTCATGTGGACTTTACACTCTTCCGTTGTAACTGAGTTTTGATTGTTGTTGGCACATCAATGAGAGGGTTTTACTCGGGCTCATCAGCTGCAGGGGCCCACCACATAGAGCAAGACTTATTCAGCAGGGCTCTGGTACCAGCTGAGTCCATTCCTTGAGTGTGTCACTGTGGAGGTAGTTGGATGGTGGTGTTTTGATATCGTCTGAAGCTGTCCACTTGGGTGTGCTGGCTCTGGGGCCAGGTCAGCCACTGCCTGTGTTCTATCCAGGGCCACCAGGCATAAGCTACAAAGCAGTCTGCAGATGGCTCCTTCTTGTGCTGGGCTTGGAGGTGCCCAGGAAAAGCCAAGTTGAGAACCAAGGCTGGCTGCTTCTAGTGCCAGGCCTGCAGCCACTTAACCAAAGGTATGGGGCTTGCTAAGACCAGATGCTGCTTGTTTGAGAGAATTTAGGAAACTCTGAAGCAGGATCCAAGACAGGCCATTCCTATGGTAAAACAACTGGTAGGTAACAGCTTGGGTGGGCCTGAAAGTTGGGTGGGGCGGGGCCTCGGAATCACCAGGGTGGGGCAACCAGTGTGAACCTGGTTACTGGAGTTCCTGATATGGCTGCTGTCTGCTGGTCCTGTGGGGGAGGGAACAAAGGCCTCTGACAGCACATCTGTCCAGGAGAAAGCTGCCTCTCCAGCCCTTGCCCCAATACCAAACAACTCAGTTCTTCCCTGTATGTCTCTGGTGCCTTTCGAGCTGCCTCCCCCACTTTGGAGCTCAGAGGGAGCAGGAGTCCGAGTAAGTCCGTGCGTGGGCCCTTTAAGAAGAGCTGCCTGGGGCTCCAGCGGCCTCAGCCTCCCTGAGCCTCAGTTCCCGCTGGTTTTTCCAGCCAGAAGTTATGGGGACTCTCTTCCTGGCACTGGAACCCTGAGCGGGGCACCTGATGTGGGACGGGGACCCCTCAGTCCTCAGGGAGGACCTTCCCAGCCGAGGTGTCCTCCTGATTTTTATCCGCCACACGTGGGTGTGGGCCCAGCCCGTCCCCTCCGCCCCTCCTACCAGTCTGGATGTGGCTGCTGCTTTAATTCCGTAGTTGTAGGACTTCCATTCAGCTTGATGTCAGGCGGTTCTGAATGATGGTTGTGCAGTAGTTTAGTTGTAACTTTGATGTGGTTGTGGGAGGAGGCGAGACCGCCTTTACCTACCCGCCATCTTGACCGGAAGTCTTTAATTTTTAATGGCAGTTTCACTTACGAGTGTCTTTGATAAAGCTGCAAAAAATATTTTTTATATCAACCCGCTGAGTACGTCTTTAATAACTGGAATAATAACATGGGAATTATGTATGAAGCACTTCTGCATACCAAAACATGATGGGTATTTTGCAGAAATGCAATTATTTCAGTTGGGGTCTGAAGTAACACCCCCCCCCCACACACACACACACACATACAGAATATAATTTTTACTTGAACATTAGACTAAGACAAATATGGTTATTAAATCTATGGTATTTTGGTAGATATTTCTCAAAACTGAACAAAGTCAGCTTTTCATAAGAACCTGACATTTGTTGCAAGTAATAAATTGTATCTTTCAAATGAAAATTAGAATTGA